CGGGGAGGTTTGCTGGGCTGCAGCCCCAGAAGGAAGAACTGGGATGGGATGGGCTGAGCACTGGCAGCAGGCAGGTTTGGGGGGGTTGCAAGCAAGGAAGGCCTGTCCCACCACTTCCTTTCCTGGCAGCAGCCTTGCAAATCTGCCTGCGGTGGGGCCTTTCTTTAAAATAAGGGATGTGGGGAGGGGTGCTAATAAGTGGTGTGCCGTTGCCAGTATCCAAATCCCATTAACATTGATGTTAATGAGAATGGAATTGGCAACATTTTGCTGGGACGCATTAACTGGAAGTTGCTAACATCAGAATTGCCATTAAGTGGAATCTACTGTATACCATCTTACAAGTCACTGCTACGTTTGGCCTATGTATCCAACTAGAAGTGGATGAGAGACTACTTGATAACTCTCACAGAGAGGGCTGGAGAAAGGTACAACTTACATCTACTTATATTGGCTCCTGAATTTGGCTTTGTTCTCTGGGTAGAGTTTAATGTTGTTTCATTCCTGATAGTGAGTGGCTGTATTTACTGTGCTGTTGGGCAGTTTAAGAGAAACTATGGAAGTACATTGTGCTTCCCAGAGCAGTTTCAACACTGGTGTATTGAATATTAGCCAGATTTCTGGCTGCAGACAACTGTCCAGGCAACGGGGGTTTGTGAAGTCAGCTAAGCCTTATGTTGAAGGGACTGTCCAGCTGCCCTGTTCAGGCAGCATTCCATCTCCTTTGCAAGCTAGAGCAGTACAAGGGGGGGTGAAGCCAAGGGACAGGATATAGCCCAATGTGTTTAAGATAAATAATAGTTCAAATTTAATAGCACCTAATTGTATAATTTTCTCAAAGATAATTTTTCCCATTTCACAGATAAGGGAAATGCTTGCTCAGTGGCACACAGAGTATGACAGTGTGGAATAGACTGATTCCCTGAATCCTGCTCTAAGCACTAGACCATGTTATCTCACCTGGGAGCAATGAATCCAATAGGGCAGTAGAAAGTGTAATGGAGATTTTCTTAGGGAATAAGACACTTGGTAGAATGGTCTCTGATGTAAAGCTGACTTTCTCCAAGTATCCTGAGGTTCCCCATTAATCTCTAAATCAGACCCGATCAATCAGTCGATGCAGCTAATAATTGTGTTAGTGATTTAAATTAAGTGGTTTATGGAACTGTAATATTAAAGACTTGCGTTGGGCTTAATGTTGCTAAGACATTTTGTTTATGCACGAATATCGCATAAACCAATGCTGAAGAAATGACAGGCTTGCTGGCTGGTAAATGCGTGTCCTGGTAGCATGTTTACTGTATGAGGGGCACTGTTTGGTCATAGTATTATAAAGGTAACCTGCAAAGGAAAAAATTTACACTTCTAATCTGCTTTACGATAGATAAAGAATTTTTATTTCAATGGGATTACTTTTGTTTAAAGTTAAGCATGTGTATGAGTGTTTACAGTACCTTGGACTAAAGTTTGTCACTTTTTCAGTGACAAAATCTGTCACTGGAAAAAAAAAAAGTTACTTTCAACACTAACAAAGCTATTAACTTTTTAAATACACACAGGCCACAGCTTTCAAAAATAGAGGTCTAAAATTAGGCACCTAAATCCATATTTAGGCACTTAAGGGTGGAATTTTCAAAGTCACTTTAGTGACTGAAGAGCAAAGTTGACTTCAAACCCTGGAGGAGTATAGCCTGGTGAAAATAATGCATCTTTCTTGACTTGTGGAAATTCAGTATATCAAAAGGTGATGTTGGCTACAGATATGTAGTTTATCAGCTTTGTGGTTGAGAGTTTATGGCATCCTCACAGTAAGGTTGATAATGAGGCTCTCTTTTTCAGCATAAATAAGTGTTTAAAATGTAAATTATTTTGGATTTTTTTTTTCCCAATATAAAATCTCAAATTCTGCTATTTAGGAAACTAAAGAAACAAACAAATATAAAACATCCACTTCAGCAAGTTAAGACTATAAAATGGTAAGAAAGTTAAAAACTAATGACAAAATCTGATTAGATTTTTAAAAAATCTAATAAAATTATCAGTCCTGCAAGCAGAAGAAATCCATTTTGGGAAAAACTTCAAAGCCTACTTCAGTACATAAAGAAATAAAACAGGACAGAAGACCCCTTTTTGCGGGTCACCTTCAGAACTTTTGTACAACATTGATGTTTTAATTTTCATTTTATGAAAAATACTTTGGGGATATTCAAACGTTCCTATTGCCTGATTGCGAAGAGGGTACTTGTTTTCATGTAGCTATTACACAATAGTTTGAAAGGGGTCTGCTTCCAAATCAGTCACAGTAATAGAGTTGCCAGTAGAATTAGGAACTTGAGGTGCACACAAGAAACAAAACTCTGCATGTTTTCTGACTAGTAAAATTTATTTGCTAAACAAACAAGATCACAAACCCTGTAATACATCAAAGGAGATGGAGCCAATACAAAATGGCTAGCACTTGCATATTCGCATCATCTCTTGTGAGGAGCCCCAGAATACATGAGGTGATCTGCGTGTGGTTGTCAAATCAACGCAACCAACATGTTCGACTGCCCTCAGGCTGGGTCTTAACTCGAATAGGGTGTTATGCCAATGCCCACCGTATCTTATACATATTCAGTGATGTTAAAACCTTTTCCCTTATAGGTACTTCTACCCTCAATAAAATTGGAGTCCCTGTCTTCAGTCGCTCAATTTGTCTCTTACGTCATACTTATTAGCATTTACATCAATTAGTTGCCATGGTACATCTGCAGTTAGTACATGTTTTAGTTAAGCTCAACATCCTTTAAAATTTCCCTAAAATTTCCAAAAATATACTTTTGTGGTACCTCACTTCGCTTTTTCCCATCACGTACCACTCTCATTTACTGTAATACTTACCTTGTGACTCAAGGTCAAACTGTCGATTAAAAACCACTTACCCAGTAACTACGTACATCAACACTTTATGCCTAGGCCTTAGTTATGCAAAGCTTATTGTCATACAGACTTGTGACCTGTAGGCCCTTGTGTTACAGCCTTATGACTTCTGAATGACTCTTACCTCTATGCCTGTACTGTGTAGCACTGGAAACTAAGTAACTTTGTATTGCATGAGAATGAGGAAGTGAGTGGCTAGACATTGTAGTGTGCATTTTAATGCACATCACACATACTCAAGGCTGTGTGTGTATAAAGTAGTTATTCAGTCCCTTAGATTCTTACATAATTCTTTGAATCTGCTACATAATTGTTTCCCCAAATCGAAATGTTCATCATGCAGTACAAAACCTTTGATTACCCGTGTGACGGGGTTGGATCACAGAAACCCCCTTGGGAACTGCCACCCGATTTGCCGAGACTACCTCTGAGCCTTGTCCCTACCAGTTTGGGACTCCAGAACCCTGCCTTGTTTGAGCCAGACACGCTAGCCTTCTACAAACACAGACCCAGGTCTGAAACATGTCCCACAAAAGTTGCAGGTTTAACTGAAAACAGCTTAAGAAGTGTTCCTGTCTCCAACACTCAGATGCCCAGCTCCCAATGGGGTCCAAACCCCAAATAAATCTGTTTTACCCTGTATAAAGCTTAAACAGGGTAAACTCATAAATTGTTGGCCCTCTATAACACTAATAGAGATTCACAGCTGTTTGCGTGTCCTCCCCCCGGTATTAATACATACTTTGGGTTAATTAATAAGTAAAAAGTGATTTTATTAAATACAAAAAGTAGGATTTAAGTGGTTCCAGGTAATAACAGACAGAACAAAGTGAATTACCAAGCAAAGTAAAATAAAACATGCAAGTCTAAGCCTAGTATAGTAAGAAAACTGAATACAGATAAAATCTCACCCTCAGAGATGTTTCAATAAGTTTCTTTCACACGCCTTCTTTCTTGGACGCCTTCCTAGTCTGGGCACAATCCTTTCCCCTGGTACAGCTCTTGTTCCAGCTCAAGTGGTAGCTAGGGGATTTCTCATGATTGCTGTCCCCTTTGTTCTGTTCCACCCCCTTATATATCTTTTGTGTAAGGCAGGAATCCTTTGTCCCTCTCTGGGTTCCCACCCCTCCTTCTAAATGGAAAAGCACCTGGTTAAAGATGGAGTCCAGTTCAGGTGACATGATCACATGTCACTGTAAGACTTCAAGCCCTCATTCCTCCCAGCCTGACTCACAGGAAAGCCTGCCTGCAAACAGAGCCATCCACAGTCAATTGTCCTAGTTGATGGGAGCCATCAAGATTCCAAACCACCATTAATGGCCCACACTTTGCATAATTACAATAGGCCCTCAGAGTTATATTTCTAGTTTCAGATACAATAATGATACATACATACAAATAGGATGACCACACTCAGTAGATTATAAGTTTTGTAATGATACCTTACAAGAGACCTTTTGCATGAAGCATATTCCAGTTACAGTATATTCACCCTCATTAGCATATTTTCATAAAATCATACAGAGTGCAATATCACAACCTGAAAATGTGGGGGCAGCATAGAATTGAAATTAATATCCAATAACACATGATACTGTGCTGGTTGGGGCTGAGTAGAGATTGGAAAAGAACTGGTGTTCGGGTAGGGAGGCTTGCACCGAGGGACCACTCGAGGGACCTTTTAAATAATTTGGGTCAAATGAGCTACATAAAATATAGGGCCTGGCATATATACTGCATAATTTAGGATGGAGCAATACATTGGGAGAAGTCTTGCTGCAGCTTCTTTTCCAGACTGCATTTGTTCTTATACACTGTGAAGTAGGGAAGTACTACTGTCCCCATTTTACAAACTGGGAACTGAGGCACAGACAGGCTAAGTGACTTGCAGAAGGTTGCACAGGAAGCTTGTGGATCTCCCCAGTCCTCATGCCCTAACTACTTGGACCATTCTTCCCCTCTGACTATCTGGACAGAGTGAATATATCTCAATCTGGGCCTTCCATTTCAGAACTGAGATGATGTGGATGGCTGACAAAAATTCTGTAACTATTTTTATGTGATTTCTTTTGATATAGGTAAAATCTCAGACTGAGATGAGGAAAACTCCGGTGTCCGAAGCCAGGAAAACACCAGTAACTCAGACTCCAAGCCAGGCAAGCAACTCCCAGTTCATCCCCATTCATCACCCAGGAGCCTTCCCTCCTCTTCCCAGTCGGCCAGGTAAATCAGCTGATTCTCATCTGAAGCAGCACTTACTACTAACTGCATAGAAATTCATGTGATGAAAGATATATTGAAGCATCCCTCAAGGCAGCAACAGTTTTAGTAAAATTATCATTTCAGGTTATGGACCTGACTTAAGCATAATAACCAGAGGTTGTAGTTGAACTGAAAAGTAAGATAAATAGGGTTCCTTATATTTTGGAATTACATTCCATGCCATGATGTCTGTATGGTTTACATGCAAATATAGCACATCACTTAGGTTTTGCTGTTGAAGGACAAGCGTCTAACTTTATAACATGAAACTGCTGTAGTCTGCTCTTGTATTTACTTATAATATGACAAACTGAATAAAACAGGATTTTAAGCAAAGATGCTTCACTTAGGAGTGAAGTATTCAAAAGATGAGCCTGGGAGCTTAGATTCATAACTTTGTTAGACACTAACAATCATGGACTCAATAAAAGCACTGGATTTATGGCTCATTACAACAATCTATAACCCAGTAACCCTCCTTTGTCCTGAGACTGCAGAAGTATTAACTGCCCACTTCATCTTGAATAGTCACTTACAACATGTTAACTCCTTACGCTAAACAAGCTGTTCCACCTTATATGTAGCCGTGACACCTTGAGTGTCTTTCCCAGACCTGGAGAAGAACTCTGTGTAATCTCGAAAGCTTGTCTCTTTCACCAATAGAAGTTGGTCCAATAAAAGATATTACCTCACCCATCTTGTCTCGGTATACAATACTCTCATAACTGCATAGCTGATCTTTTATATTTTATCTGCTTTACAGCCAAGTTTCCGCTGAAGAAGGTGTGGTGTTAATATTTGTGTTAAGCTATATTGTCTAAATATGTTTAATGATTTGCTGCTGCCGTTTCTCAGGGTTTTGATATATCCACATAAACAGAGGGATCTTGCAGCTTTAAGTGCCACTATCATGTTTACTTTCTCCATGCTGCTTGCCCATGGAGCACTTGCAGAGCCCACCTTCCCCAAGTGGTGCTGCAGCTATTCCAAGTAGCAGTTGACCAAAAGTGGGGATGGAGAAAGAGGACTATCAGTTCTTACACTAAACTCAACTGAAAATCTGGGTTGGGAGGAGCAGCTTCAGTCCCTTGTCTTCCTCCCCAAACTGCAACAATATGAACTGCAAGAAAAGAAGAGTTAGGCCATGTCTACATGCACAGCGGTGCAGCTGCACCGATGCAACTGTGCGGCTGCAGCATGCGTGGTGAAGACACTATGCTGACAGGAGAGAGCTCTCCTGGTAGCGTAATAAAATCACCTCTGAAAGTGGCAGAAGCTATGTCAGTGGGAGAAGCTCTCCTGCCGACATAGCGCTGTGCACATGAGCACTTATGCCAGCATAATTTGTCACTCGGGGGTGGTTTGTTCACCCCCTTGAGCGACATAAATTATGCTGGCATAAGTTGTAGACATAGCCTTAGTCTTGCTGAAAGGAGGACTTAGTTCTGTACCCACTTTACTCTTTGGATAAATTAAGTCAGGGACTGGAGACTACCTGGGCGTGGGGTGCATCTTGATAGGTTGCCAGTCCTCCCTCCAGCATTGCAGTGATTCAGTATCAGACAGAATGTGGGATGGAGGAGTGCCCTGAGAGTAGTAGATTGAAAATCTCAGGATGGTGAAGGCAAGAAAGTTGGAGAAAAAGTAGAAACAAATAGGTTAATTTTAGTGTGGAGAAATTTCAGGGCGTCTCTCCAGTTGACCATAACCAGTAACTAAAAGGATAGCTAAAAAAAATTCAGAAATAGAACTTCCCTCTAAAATATCAAACCCCTTCCCCTGATTTTTGAGTGTGTGAGAATGTCATTTGGGGGAAATACAAAGTCTCACAAATGTGGAATTACAGCTCATATTTACAGTCTTCATGACTGAAACACGGAAAATAGGAAACCATGATGCGTATCCTGCATTGCTTAAGACGTGTGGCTTCCTAATGGTTAAAGGTGTGTTTTTATGTTTTCTAGGGTTCCCACCTCCAGCATACGTTATACCTCCTCCTGTGGCTTTCTCCATGAGCTCAGGTTACACCTTCCCAGGTGGTGTTTCTGTTCCAGGAACCTTTCTTCAGCCTACAGCTCACTCCTCTGCAGGAAACCAGGTGCAAGGTGGGAAACAGTCCCACATTCCTTACAGCCAGCAGCGGCCCTCTGGACCAGGGCCAATGAACCAGGGACCTCAACAGACAGCACCACCTTCCCAGCAACCCCTTACATCCTTACCAGCTCAGGCAACAGCACAGTCTGCAAGCCAATTACAGGTCCAAGCTCTGGCCCAGCAACAACAGTCCCCTACAAAAGCTGTGCAGGCCCTAAGGAAGAGCCCACCACACCACTCTGGATTCCAGCAGGTAAACTTAAAACATAAGAACTATAAAATTCTTCAAGCATCCATGAAAGGGAAGGGATGCAGTGGCCAATATTTTTAAAAATAGGAGCGCAGGTCCCATTGACGTCAATAGGACTTGTGCCCAGAAGTCACTTAGATCCTTTTGAAAATCCTGCCTTTGGGCGCTTAAATATGGATTTAGGACTATGGACTTGAAGCTCCTATTTTTGAAAATTTTGGCCAGTATAGTATGGCCAAAGTGTGCAGGAGGGTATGGCTTGGTGCTGTGGACTATTGGCTCTATAATTAAAGCTAGCTATTGAGGTCTGAAATGTTTCGTATGGCAGACAATGTATTCTGTATTCTCTCTTCTGCATATGTGTACAGATGGCTAAAAGGTGATCTTTTTGACTAGATGTTTCTGCTTTAGGCTTTTCCAGACAGCCCGGTGGTTTCCTGCCTAACTAAGGAGGCTGGCCCTGGATCTTTCCCCATAACTAATCCCTCCTATCCTTTTTAGTTAAATGCATCACAACATTGGTTCCTTGCCATCCATTAGTTATACACTCAGCACTTGAGAAATCTCCTTTTGAACATTGCTCCGTCTGAAATCTGTAGCTGAGAGAGACTCCACCCCCACCCAAGGCACCTCAATTGGAGGTCTGAGTCAGCACCTCGGTTGGAGGTCTGTGAAGTCTGCAAATTGAAATGAGGATGACATTTCCCAGGTGTTACCTCAGAGCTTGAGTAGGGAGTGTGAAGTGAGTGCTCACTGAAATTCTGAACTTTGGTGAATAAGAACTGAGAGAAACACGCTCTGGGATTTATAAAAGGAGAATCTGTAATCTACCAGCGGGCATGGCCACCAGGAATGAACGTCTGAATAGAACAGATAGTCGTTCAGTTAACCTTTATGGTAATATTCCATTGTTTATGCCTCATGGTGAAAGTGTGCATCTCTTTTAGTATCCGCAGGCAGACTCATCAAAGCATCTCTGGAATCCTCCTCACGTCCAAGGCCCATTGGGAAAGATCATGCCTGTAAAGCAGCCCTATTATCTTCAGGCCCAGGACCCCCTAAAACTGTTTGAACAGTCATTACAGCCTCCTGTGATGCAGCAGCAGCCTCTGGAGAAAAAAATGAAGCCTTTCCCCATGGAGCCATATAACCACAACCCCTCAGAAGTCAAGATGCCAGAATTTTACTGGGACTCCTCCTATGGCATGGCTGATAATAGGGTAGTGATGGCACAGCAGGCTAACATGGATCGAAGGGGGAAACGACCACAAGGAGTCTTCCGCCCAGAGCAGGACACTGTGCCCAGGATGGCTTTTGAGGTAAACATACTATTTTGTTAAGTGGTGAAGATCAGCCGCAAGACTCTGATGTCCCTAAATGTGAAACTCCAATTTTTGGCCATATCCTCTAGCAAGAAATGCCTAAATGTGGACCTGTTTCTGGCCAACCCCCCAACAGGGATAATACCATATTGTACTGCCTTCTGGAAAGTGGTTCACTTGAGATTCCAGCCACCAGTACTGGATTTGCCACTCAGTTGGTCTAATTATATGGGAGCATATTCTTGGGGAAACTGTTGGTTCAGGGTACTGTAAGTTGCACTCAGTGTAGAAGTGACATTAACCTCTGCACTAAAGCAAGAATTTGCTGCTTGATGGAAAATGGAGAATTCATGCCACATTCTGATTTTGGTGACAGGCTCCCCTCCCTCCTGCAAGAGACCCTGTTAGTGATAGACCAGGTTGAGAGAGATCCTATTGTCTAGGAGCAAAGAACAAAAAACCTTTTCAAACAATTGAAATTTAATTACTGCCTTCTAAACAAGCTGCTAACCTGCACTTGATATCTTCGGTGCATTGACTCACCAACACATCCAACCTAGGCTGGAAATTAAAAAATAGCCTTCTGCTTCAGTTTCCTTTTAAACTCCACCAAACAGAAATGGGTGACCTGTTTGCCTGGTCCATTGCTTTGCCAGACTCATCCTTTGCTTCTGCTCATCCAGTTGTGCCTCATATTGCTGTTACAAATATTGTGGTTAATTTCTGTTCTGTTAGTTCTCCAGAAGAGAAGTCTGGGGTGCAAATGCTTTTTGGTATTGCTTACAAGGAAATTGAGGCAGAAACCTGGTTTCCATTTTTAACCTGGGGTCAGGTGTACTTGGGTGAGTACTGAGGATTAAGAGGTCAGTTCAGTTCCTTGAAGGAGAAGAGCTAGACAGTGACCAGGAAACTGCCTCATGCCCTAATGTCAGGTTGTGTTTTTAGATGGAACAATGCCAGTGTCCTGATCTCACCCCCATCCATGGATCTCATCCATGCTGCAACTTTTGATTTGGCTGCTTGAAGCATGAGCAGAGACTATGCCACACAACCCACCTGTGGCTGATTTAATGATTACACACACAATGTGAGATGGCTAATTCTGTCCCCTCCCTCTTTCCCAGGTAGGGAAACCTCCTTTTGCCCAATGGTGCCTTCACTTGTGGACCATAAGAGTAAGGGCCATTAGAGGTGGAAATGTTTTTCTCATGAAAACTAAACTTAACCATACAAAAATAACCAAAACAGAAATGTAATTTGCTTATAACTTAAAAACAAAAACAGATTGGCTATAGAAAAAAAAGGTGATTTTTCTTATCAGAAAACCAAACTTCAGATCCGGGTTTTCCTTGCCTTACAAAATGTGGAATGAATCCATTAGTCTGTAGGTCACTAATATAACAGGGAGGACATTCTCTAAATTAGTTACCAGTCTCTGACTGAAAACTTCAACTTAATGTAAAACTGCATCATTCTGCTGAATACGCATAAGGACAAGATATTAGTTTTGTTATCAGTTCAGCATTCTCTTTCCATCCCCTCTTCCTTGTTTCTCTCCTTATGTTGCGCTGTCCTTTATGGTCTTGTGCTTCTTTTGCATGCTGCCTTTTTAACTGCTTTATAATATTCCTCTCTTCTGGACACTATTATGTCTTGCCTTATTTGTGGTTATTACGGCTTCTCTTCTCTTTCTGTGGCTTCCCTTCTTGCTCCTATTCTTGCTTTTTTCTTTTCCCCTCCTCTGCTGCATCTGACTGTGCTCCTTTCTGTCACTAGGACCCCAAGAGCTCCCCTCTGCTTCCTCCGGACCTGTTAAAGAGTCTGGCTGCCTTGGAGGAGGAGGAAGAGCTGATTTTCTCTAATCCTCCTGATCTTTACCCAGCTCTGCTGGGGCCTCTCGCCTCTCTTCCTGGACGAAGCCTCTTTGTATGTATTTGACTTAATTCTGCTGCTTCTCACTCTAATTCTGGCATCTCTTTTCTGTGAAGTTGTAAGATGTGTGAAATTTTGTTTTCCCTTGTTGAGTTAGTCTCTGCCTGAGAGTTTAAACAAGCTGATGGCTCATTAGCTCAGGATAATTGAGGAGGAGATTTATAAAGAATAGAATAGCTATTGATCCAGTTCCTGGACTCTTGGTTTGTTCAGAATTCAAAATAATTGCTTTGGTTAAAAGTGTTAAGTCCACAGGCAAAACATTGATGCAGCATCTATAAAACTATGCTTTCCACAGTGGAATAGGCTTGGTTACTCACAAGGTTCTGTTTTATCCATATGTAAAATCATTGTTTTCATCCCTTCTATATGTTACATCATATGAAAAAACTAATCCTTTAAAAATGCAAAAGGATCACAGAAGGAAGAAAATACTTTTTAGAAAAGAATTGGAAGTATGTGGATAAAGAATATAAGGTTAACTTTCAGTCTTGTAGATTACAATAAGGTTTGGCAATGTGGGAAATCTTGAATGTTATGTTTTAATAGCATACTAGAGCCTTCTTAATTGACATTGACCGCGGGAACCATTGAAAACTGCTGAAGGTTGTGAATTAGTAACAGAATATCAATTAAAAAGCATTATTTCATATTTTATTATGGCAATTGTAATTTAAAGTTACAATTGACTAGTTAAATGCCCTGTAGAATATCTTGTAACAATAATGAACTCTTAGTAATACTTAGATTTTTAAAATGAAGAGGCACTTCTGAATGCATTGGGAGCCTCTAATTCATACATAACACAATAAATCAAAGAAACAAAGTCTTCACACGGTTCTGAACAACCAGCAGCACAAATATAAAACAAATTCCCCCCTTCTTAAAGCTTTTATTCCCCCCGTATTCAAACTAATCTTTGCTAAGAAGTGGAAGGAGGCCAGTTTAGTTCATGTGCCAGTTAAGTGGTGTGGAATTGCCAAGTTTGGTATTTGAATTCTAAAACATTTTCAAAGTATCAAGTTGTCACCCGGGCAAAACCCAATAAGCTAGCATCTGCTTACTATAAAAACTGACAGGGGAATTCCTGGTCAGCTGACAGGATCAAACACAAAGATGTTCCTGATACAAAGGCCTAAATTCTAGGGAAGGACTACAGTGCAGGCTGTAGTGTAATCCAGAGGATTTTATTTTAAATATAACAAAAAATATAATGGACAACCATACTGAGATGTTATGAACTTAACAAGGTATTGAGTGATGCACCAATTTTAATTTTAACTTTATCACACGCAATTCATTTGTGACTTACACAGTCATCCTGAACTCCGTGGCACTGGCTGCTCACCGGCACATAAATGTTTATATTATGTGGATAGATCCAACTTCCTGAAAATTGATTCACATTCATTCTCCATTCCAAACAGGCACATCATGCCAAAACACCTCGTGCTGGTTTGAGGTGCATTATTGCTAACTCCTCAACGCTAGCAGTTACATAGAGCAGAAGGGAGAAAAACTAGTGGGGACTCAGTTGAGGGATGTAAAGTTAAAAATGACAAGAGATTCCCTGCTGTCTGTGGAGGGTGACTGCTGGCATTGTACTGACTCTCCTTGTTTCTAGCTGCTAAACTGCTTTATAATAAACTTAAATACATAGAGCAGTAGTCTCCAACCTTTTTATGCCCAAGATCACTTTTTGAATTTAAGGGCAACCCAGGATCTGCCTCGCCCCACTCACTCCATCCCCCCTCTCTCCATTGCTTGCTCTCCCCCACTCTCACTCACTTTCACGGGGTTGGGGTTCGGGTGGGGTGCAGGCTCTGGGCTGCGGCCGAGGGGTTCTCTGTGGGAGGGGGCTCCGGGCTGAGCGTGGGGCAGAGGGTTGGGGTGCAGGAGGGGTGTAAGCTCTGGGAGGGAGTTTGGATGCAGGAGAGGGTCTGGGGTGCAGGAGTGGGTACAGGGCGCAGGGCTGGGGCAGGGGTGCAGGAAGGGATATGGGGGCTGGCTCCAGGAGGCTGCAGGTTGGGAGGTGGAAGAGAAATGCTGGTCCAGCATAGCTGGGCCTGCTGTACTCATGCTACTCCTGGTCTTAATGCTGCAGAGCCATTCATAACTTGCCCATTGAAGGGAGCGGCACTTACCTTGGGCAGCCCCAGCCCCACGCTGCTTCCGGACGCGGCCAGCGCAGTCCCGGCGGGGGAGGCGGGGCAGGGCGGGGGGGTCTCTGCGCACTACCCCTCTCTGCAGGCACCGCCCCCACAGCTCCCATTGGCCAGAGTTCCTCTGAAGTATCAGTTACTGACAAAGGCCAAAAGCAAGACACCAGACTTGATAAACCAGTGGCCTAATCCAGCATGATAAATCATAAAATGAGTTTGGTTGAGATTTCACCTCAAACTTGGTGTAGTTGCTGGTGCTGCGGCATTAAGTGGATTTCAGTTAATGTGATGGGTTTGTGACACTCTTCTGCATGTATCAATATTTGCTTCATCCCAATGTTGGAAAATAACTTGTAAAATATTTTTGATAAACAACTTGCTTTAAAGTATTCTGGTGATTAAACAACTTGTCCTTAATGTGGCATAATGTGCTTTCTGTCTTTCACAAATACAATAAACATCTAATGACATCTTTCCCTTTTGATCTCTGAAGAAGTCCCTATTAGAAAAACCATCGGAGTTGATGTCTCAGTCATCTTCTTTCCTGTCCCTCACTGGCTTCTCCCTAAACCAGGTATGTAAACACCAAGAACTCTTAGCCCTTCAGTATTGGAAACTTCCATTCAGCTCTGGTCATATTATAGAATCAGGGTTGTTACACTAGTTCCAAAAATGTACACAAGCTGGAAAAGAATTCCCAGCTGTAATTTTATTCCTTACAGGTAGATGTTTTTTGGGTTTTTCCATTCTAACCTACTAGACACACTGTCTGGTCCCCTGGTCTCATTTGTTTGTTCCTTCTTTGTCTCCTCTTAGGGCCTGATTCTGCAGGCCAACAGTCAAAACTCCCGTTGACTTCACTGGGAGTCTTGCCTATGTAGGGCCTCAGGCTTGACCCTTAGTGTGTATATCTTTCCTTCTTTTCATTGTCTGTTGCTTGCATGTTTCCCACTAAGGACTGTGAGCACGGTCCACTGACCTAGTTAGGATTTTGTGGTACACCTGGGGAGATGATTCAGGAAGTGATAGGAGTTTATATAAGTAAAATGATTATAAAGGAGATGGGGTAAGGGGGAATAAACATGGAGTTCATGAAGTGTTTTAACCCACACCACATGTTCTTTCTACAGCCTTAATGTTTCAAATAAATCTGTTACTCAGATTAAACTCTATTTAATATTGCAGGAAAGATATCCAAACAGCAGCATGTTCAATGAGGTATATGGGAAAAACCTGAATACCAGCACAAAAGCAGAGGTCACTCCCTCAATGGCCCATCAGGAGACATCACTATATTCGCTCTTTGAAGGGACGCCCTGGTCTCCATCCCTTCCAGCAAGCTCAGGTAATAATCTTGATATGGCTTATTTCCTGCACAGTAGTTCAGAAGGCTGCACAGACGCTATTTCTGTACCTATTATGATATATATTGTATTCTCTGTTAAATGTGACCTGCAAATGAAACATTTCTATTTGCTTCTTTATAGTATATAAAGAAGGCCTGAAAGTCTTTTTCAAAGTCTCTTACTTGCTTGCTGTCTTTGTTGTCTTTTGTATCCTGTTTTTTGATGGAAGACTATAAATGCCAGAGAATTACAGGGTTCTGACATTAAAAGAGATGGTAAAACCTGAGCAACTGAGTGGGGCAAGAAATTGTAGTCCATTTTTCAAGCTATTTTATTAATACTTATTTAACTAATTCCTGACCAACATTTGGGAGAAAAGCTCTAATGATTCAGACACACCCGCTGCTTCCGTTCTAGTCCTCCAAGAAGTCCTTCAGACAAATCAGGGAAGACTAGATTTCATGGTCCTGATGTTTCAAAAATAAAGGAAATAGGATGGAGTGCTACTTTAATACATCACAAAGATGCAGAAAAATGCACTCACACATTTTTCCTTTACAGGTCACCTTTTAAAGACCATAATATAGTAATACAGTTAGAGTAGAAAGGAGAGGTAAATCAAGAGGCATAGGCAAGGGAGAGAAAAAAATTATTTCAGAAGATGGCAAGCTGAAGCCAGGAGATGGGAACGCTCTTCCAAATGGCAGCAGCTGCAGAAGAGGTTAGTTTGTGCAATAGAACAGAGGTGGTGGGTGCTAGATGAGATGTGAGGGTAGAAGTTTTTCTCAGTCTAAAAAGATGCAATTGCAGAGTGGTCTCTTACAGTAGGACTTATGGCAAGATCCTCCATTCTGCATTCTATCACCTCGCCTCATCATTTAAGTGGCCTCCTGCTACCCTATGTTATAGGGCTCTCATCTATCCTTAGGTAACATTATCTCCTCTACCAGGTAGATCTGCTAATATTCCACACTTCCTCAACACCTCTTGCTTGGTATTCAGTACAAGTCTGAATTCCTTTCAGACTATTGCTGATTTCTGTATAAGTCAGACTTTCTGAATTGGATGATTCATCACTTAATGCCAGACTCTTTGCAAAATGATCGAGACAGTGGAGAAAGAAAATCATTTTTGTATAAAACAATGGCTTTGGTCAAACTACAAAATAGGCACATTTCAGATTGTGAACAGGGGCTCAACACTGAAAACTGCACCCAGAACGTATTTGAAATAAATTTGGAGAAATCTCTGCGCAAAGATCTTGCTAGGAGATTTCCAGTGTTCTCAAGTAAGCACACAAATGTTTTGTTCAGTTGGCAATTAAACTAAAATTATTCTACTACTGTGGTGTGGCATATTCACATTACAGTTGGCAGATTTCCAAATCCTGAAGTTAATATAATAGGGAATAAACTGACCCTGGCTCAGAGAAAAGCCTTGTGACTGCAGATATTGCAGCAGAGTTTAACATTCTCAGATGTGCAGAAAACCCTTACCAATTTTTTGACATTTCTTTTACTCTGTCTTGATTTATATTGTTCAACAGATCATTCAACACCAGCCAGCCAGTCTCCTCATTCCTCCAACCCAAGCAGTTTGCCAAGCTCCCCTCCAACTCATAACCACAATTCTGTTCCATTCTCCAACTTTGGACCTATTGGAACGCCAGACAACAGGGACAGGAGGATTGCAGACCGTTGGAAAACAGATAAACCAGGTGAGTGCTAGGTTCCAGTCCTGGGGCAAATACTCCCCAAGTTAGTCTGATGCTTTGCAATGCCTTTTTGTGACATACACTTTTAACCAGTCTCTGTTTGCTTTAGCAATGGGAGGATTTGGGCTGGACTATCTCCCAGCAACATCCTCCTCCTCGGAGAGCAGCTGGCACCAGACCAGCACTCCCAGCGGCACCTGGGCAGCCCATGGCCCTGCTATGGAGGATTCCTCCGCTGTGCTCATGGAGAGCCTGAAGGTATATTGAACTTGAAGAGGAGAAAATAGGTTTTAGTTTTGTTGTGTAATTCCCCTGTTTCCTAAATATATTTATGGCATGGGGAGATCTGGGTGATGAGACTTAATGCAGGATATGCTCCAAGCACCAGACTGTTAATGTTGTGCTTGTCTACACCTGAAACGGTACAGCAACACAGCTGCAGCACTGCAGCTACACTACCATAGCGCTCCAGTATAGACACTACCTACGCCAACGGGGGGGTTCTCCTATTGGCATAGGTAATCCACCTCCCCGAGAGACAGCAGCTAGGCTGATGGAGGAATTCTTCCATAGACCTAGTACTGTCTAAACGGGGGGTTAGATCGGCTTAACTCTGTTGTTCAGAGGGTGTGGATTTTTCACACCCTTGAGCAATGTAGCTGGGTCCACTTAACTTTTTAGTGTAGGCCAGGCCTTAGTACTATGAGCTGAAGGTTTCCTGCTGCAAAACCCACTAATGCAGACAACGTGTTAGGCATGTCCAGTGCTGGAAGACGTCACTGTAGGTGTCAGTTCACTCACACTATAGAAATCTCTCCCCTCACTTTAAAATGTCATATAGACCAGGAATAGACTGGCTGAACTAGAAGAAACCCAAACGTTATGTCTGATTTACCATATCTGTGTCTATTTAAAAAAAAATTATTCTGCATTTCCATTGCTTATTAGTCTGGGATGAGTTTTAAGGCAATGGGAATTTCTGTTCACATTGACTTGTTTTACGGGCATACAGGAAGAAAGGAGGAGTGTTAAGAGGAAGGGTCCTTTTAGTAACGAATCTGTGATCCTGCCACTTACAAAAGCATCCATTCCAGTGAAGAGCATGGTATAAATACTCAGGAGAAAATGGGAGACTTGTCAGTCTGGGAAATGTGTAAGAGAAGGGGCCCCTCAATCAGGTACTAATGCTGACCCTTGCTTTTTTATTTCTTTAGTCCATCTGGTCCAGTTCCATGATGCATCCTGGACCATCAGCCCTGGAGCAACTGTTAATGCAGCAGAAGCAGAAGCAGCAACGTGGACAAGGCCCCATGAATCCACCACACTGAGAATGAGGTGGCAATTCTTGCAAAGGAAGGCTCCATAAACCATGGCATGTTGGGTCTGCAGGACTCGCCCACACAGTCCTGTGCAGGTGGCAGCCCTCTCTTCTGTTCCTTGCTGTCAGGAGGGCGTAAGTGCTCCACCAACCCACTGAGTGTGCACGAAATGTCTGCAGTGCAACAAAAAACATCAGGAACTCTCCCGTCCCCCCGGCCCTCTGGAGGGAGAGAGGAACTGCTGTTTGTCTCACTCAGTAACCTGATATCACCGCCTCTCACCTTCTCCATCGTGCATGTCCCCAGCCACATGGGAAGTAAAAGCTGAGAATGAAGGGCAGATGGGAGAAGCCAATGAGAACTTCTCAATCCTTTTCCTCTCTTTGGGGAGATAAAATAGGAATCCATTAATGATTGCTTTGCTGACTGAGAATGTAGTTGAAATTATTCCTAAACATCTTTATTATTATTACTATCTCAGTAGTAAGATCACACTGAATTCTTCCATACACAATGTGCTTTGTAGTCAGTGTGTAGCAATGAAAGCCCCAGTCGCTGCTCCGGTCAGAGGTGGGTGGTGACAGGGTGGGGATCTATCTCCTGGGCTAGTGAAGGAGTTTCATGAAGGAGAGTCTGGCACTTGACACCACTTCATCTTTCACTCAAAGGCTCTGGCCAGCCCTTGTGTGGGTTAGAGACTCCAGCGTAAAATGCCCTTTCTGTAGGTGTTCAAGCTACAATTGGGGACGCAGTGGGCATTGCAGTGCAAGCAAGTAACTGCTACGGGGTTTTAAATTAATGTTTCTGATTCCTATACATTTTACTATAGCATAGTGACCAGCCTCACAAAGGGCAGACTAGTCTGTGTGTTCACAGCCTGACTCCTTTTAGTAGGTAGGTAGGTAGAAGCTTTCAGTGGTTTTTTGTTTTGTTTTTTTCTTTCTACCCCCACCCTCCCCTCGTTGCTGGATGCTCGTAGTTTTATTCCCGATGTCAACATCTCACAAACAAGTAATGGGTCCAGCACGATGGGGTAAAGAAGACAGTCAGCTGGGCAGTATGGTGTGTACACAGCCCCATAGGTATACATCAACTCCAGACTCGCACGCAGCTGAGCCCCAAACCTCCAGTTCCAGAGTCAAATTCCAGGCATCACAGACGCGTGTAACCCACACACAGAAGAAAACATAGCGCCGTTCACTTCTGAAAAGGCGCAGAAAGGGAAATACAGCATTTTATTTGCTATTTATTAGGGGAAAAGGAAGACTGGAAATCTCATAGAAAAAAGGACAGCATTTCTGTTCGTTTCCCAGGGAAGTTATGGAAACAAGCTAAATGTCCATTTGCGATGCTAGCCAGAGGGGCATTTTGTATGTGATGATTCAGAATCGCTGAGCTGAGAAACAGCTGCAGAGCAAAGCACATGCAGGAGCCTCAGTGACACTGGAGTCTGGGCAGCCCCAATTAATACAAAAAGGGAAGATTCGAGCTTAGTGCCCTTCATAGGGTGTGACTGGCTCCCCTTTGCCCCCTGCACTAGCAACATTACTGTTCTCTGTTGCAATTCTAAGAGAGATTTTCTTTGAAAGCTCTAAAGAGTGAAGCTCCCATCCTAGTGGTGGTGAATACAAACCGAAACCTTCCGTGCTTCTCTTCAGCCCTCCCAGTTTGTGTATTTTGAGCTGTGCACCCAGGCAGCTGCAACATTCCAGTGCTTGAACTGTCACTGACTCTTGCACCCTAGACAAGCTAACCAGATTCACCATCTCACGCCCAGCAGTGCCAGAGTCCCAGCCACAGAGTCCCATTTCTGCATGAGAATCTGGTGTTTGGAATGTTTTCTGAATCTTGGGCCGGGATTCCCCATCCCACCCTCCGGTGTCGGAGTTACGTAGGGCTCGGGGATTCCCAACAGAAACTGGTTTGTGTCGTAAGCTTTTTTGTGTTTTTCGTCTGTCTGTGCAAGACCTGCAGCTGCTGAAATCAGCTTTGCCTTTAATTAAACCATGTTCTCTCCATCCAGGTGTGAGTAGCATTTATTTCCTGTTTAACTGAATGGAAGTTATTTAGATTCTCTTTTTGTTCATACTAAGGAATATAATATTCATGTGGGATTGAAAGATTAAGTGAGCCAGAGAGATTCTGATTGGACTCAGGATGGGTGAGCCAAAAGGCAAACATAGCACAGGGGCTATGAACATTGAACTGAAAATTATGTATAGGGAGTTCCTGGCAAAGCTTTCACTTGGAAGGCTGATTATGTCAGACTGCCAGAGCCCAGAGAATGAGTTAAACTTTAATCCTGAGGGCTGATGGAAATATTTAGGGCTGGGGTTCCCAAACTGTGGTATGTGCATCACTGGCGATACGTGAGGCTGTAACAGAGTGGGCTGTTCCTTTTTAAGGGTTCCCAGCTGACCCCTGTTCAAGGAGATGGCCCCTTTAAGGAAACAGGAATCCAAGGGAGCCACAGACTAGTTGCGGGAATGGGGTCAGGTGTTAAGCAAGTAGCCGCCACCTTAACATAAAACCCGGCTGTTAAGTGACTCCCAGAAGGAGAATTACAGGAGAGCATGAAGTCAGGAGAGAGGCTCCCTAGGATGGGGACCAGAAAGGGAGATTGGTGGGCTGGAAAATCCCTTACACCCCAGAAAGTGTTAATGAAGAAGATGATGTGAGTTATGGGCCCAGGTTAGGAGGAGACTTTTGTGTGTAAAACTCCTGTGAGGCTGGGGTTGCAGTGAGACTGGCAGCTCCCTGGCTCAGAGAGAACCAAAGTGGAACTGGGAACCGGAAGCCTTGGAGAAAGGGTAAACTGGCTGAAGCTTCTTGGTGTCCAGTTAAAGCTCTGGATGTCCAGCTAAGACTCCCCCACCTCTCTGTGCCTCCCTGCTCTTTGACATACTCTCTCACACGTTCTCACCACCAGAGCCCGTCTACACTCCAGCCAGAACCTGTATCCTCAGTCTAACACCATTAGAGCTGGGAAGGAAATGGTTTTCCCCCCATGTGAACCTTTTTACCATTTTGAAACTTCCCCATTCTGCATCCTGGTGGAACTGAGTTCTTTTGAAGTGTGTGTAAAACCGAGCAAGAGAGCCCACCCCAAAACAGCCAATAACATGGTGGCCAGGGCACTCACCTGGGATGGGTGAGACCCAGGTTCAGGTTCCTGGTTTGAATGCTGGGTTTGGGGTGTCTCCTGTTGGCACTGTTGTATAAATAATTAGATATTCACTGGATCGCCCACATCCAGGTGAATGCCCAAACCACCTGGCTGTTCTAGTGTGTGTGAGTGGGGGGGGGGGGTGTCTCTCTGGTTTTGAGCAGAAATTCCATCCTGGACCTGAGACCTTCCCTGATGACGGTTTTGTCAAAACTCTGGTACATTCCTGTAGAAAGTTTTGGTTTCAACAAAGTGGCATTTTCCGATTGGGGGGGTAAGGGAGGGGGGGAAAGGTTTTGTAAAAAAATTCCTGACCAATTCTAAATCTCCTGTCCTCTAACCTAACGCCCACACTCCCACAGCCAAACTCCTTTCTCTGACTTCCCCAGGAAGATCTCCATCAGCCTAATTCACCACTTATTTTACTGAGTTTGTAAATACTTCAGTTGAGCCTAATAAGGTCTAAAATAAATGTGCACAAAAGGAGAAATTTGCATGTGGTACTTTTAACAGTGTCTCTTGAAGGTGGTATGTGAATCAATAAAGTTTGGGATGGTAGGGGATTGATAGATGTGGAGCTTTTTGTCCACAGGCCATTTGTCCATATACACATCAGGATGGCATTGACCATGTCCTTACTACCTGATGGATGTTTGGTCTCAGTTCAAGTCCTAGTGGCACAGGTGTCGACGCCATCCTTGATAGTACTGTTCTTGTCATAGTAACAATGTGGGGCCAATTCTTAAATGAGTTTTGGAAACTGAATTGCCTTGTCTGAGGCTAGTACCTCTGTCAGGTTTGAGGCACATTAGTGGGGCAGTGTAGGCAAGCCAGCACTGTAGTGATGTGGTAGTTTTCATGTTTGTTTTCAGACATCTTTCAAGAACAATAAATTCACTTGAAAACAAATATCAATATTTCTACTGGTAGGAGTGTGGGGGCTTTCCAGAACATACATGTTAGTACTTAGAATGGGGAAATCGTCTCATAAAAAGTGTAGGACACCCAATAGTGTAAATGTCAGTGCAGAGACTTGACAGTAACTTTATCCATAGCTCCTGTGCTACCACAAGGGATAGTAGCTCTGATATGAGAAAAGGTGCCTTCCTAAGGGTTTTGAGAAATCCCAGCTGCTAGTCAGTGAAGGTGAAGCACTGAAAGAAGAGCCATTTTATTGAATGATGGAGCAGAAAAAAGACAGTCATGTTGGAAGGGGGAAAGGGAGAAGTAGGGTTGTGGAGGCTGACAGTCAGGTGACTAATGATGTGGCAGGATTAACCTGTCCTGATCCTTCTCTCCTGACTGCCAGCTCCTTTTACATTCTTGCTGGCAGTGCCATAAATAGACCAGTACTGCCCTCTTTGAGAAGCGGATTCCTGATTCTTGCCAGAGGCAGAATAGATGTGGGGAGAGCTGCTGCTTCTCAAGTGGTCTAAAAGCACAACTGTTCAGGCAGGCCTGAGTAGCTGGTCTCCGTGCTGGGAGATGGTTCATAAACAAGGTGCTAACTGGGACATGTTTAAATAAGAGCTGGGGCAAACCAAAAGGTGAAACAAAGAAAATTAAGGCTTTTCTTACACATGAGGGTAACATTTCTGTATACAATGGTTAATGAGAGGAGACATCTTAAATGCTACTGTTGCACGTCCTGGGGTCCTCAGGCTTCTGTGGAATTAGATTTCAGGGTTTTCGGCATCACTTTTTTGAACAAAAGCTCGGGGGAAAATGCCCACCTTCCCCTTGCACTGGCCTTCCAACCACTCTTCATTCACTAGAAGATAAAATTACAGGGAGACGCTTTTTTCGCTGTGGATAAGTTTATAAACAATGTCACCCCCCACAAACCGAACAGTGCCTAAGAGCACCGTTAAGCTCCTCAAATGGGTAAATAGATGTGCTGAAAGTCAGACAAAGACGTGGTTAAAGAAGAAGGAACTGAAGGAGCCAGTGGACAGACAGGATGCACAGCTGCGAAGGCGCAAGTCGGAGGTGGCAACAAAGAATAAGCTGCAGAACTGGGAGAGACCGCAGGTATTTCTGAAACCACGGGAAACAAGCTTATAGAAGGAGTAAATAGAGCAGTAAGGCCTTAGGCAGATAGGAAAGAAAGCAATCTTGCTTTATATTTTTTTAAAGTAAAAAAATTAATTCCTGGGACCTGAGGACTGACTGGAAATGTGGAAGGGGAGATTATAAAAGTAGGTGGACGCAGAAGTATTATCTTGGATACTATGGTGATGGGCACTAGTATGAAACCCTGAACGTCTTCCAGGTAAAATCAATAGCAATAGTGAAGTCTCTGACTCTCTCTCCCTTTCTGAGGAAAAAACTGATCTTCAGTGTAACGTTGCAGCCAGTACCAGGCCGAGGCACAAAGGACAATAAGGGGAAGCTTTTCAAAGGCACAAAAGCCCTCTAAGTGCCAAACTTTCAGTGGGATTTAGGCACCAAACTGCCCTAAGTTCCTACAGACCGAGTTCTGGGGGGGATGGTGGCCCTGTATAAAAGACGATGGAACAAACTTAAGGGGCAAAGCCAAATATGGTGTGACCAGAGCCTGGAACCCTTAGAGCTGCAAGCTGTCACTGGTCACATCAGAGAGTACAAACCAGAGCAATAGAGATGAACGAAAACCAGCAAGTGTCACGATGAGAACAGCAGCTGAGGCGATGATGCAATGAATGGAGTGTTTGAATTTCCAAAAAATGAATGGAAGGAAGAGCCAGCTTTTCCAGGCAAGGACTCTTAGCTCAGTGAAGAGAAGCAGCAGGATCACAGGGCATTAGAGGGCTTTATCCTGTGCAGTGCAGGTGCCATCTGGGGTATATAAAAGCAAGGCAAAAGAACCTGAGTGGGACAAGGAGGGAGTGGAGGAAGACAAGACCCTTCATTAATGACAGAACCTCTGTACAGCCACCAAATTATTCCTGCCTTAGAGCAGGCATAAGATCTAAAGGTCATATATAGCTACAGGTCTTGTATACTGAGGGATTCACTAAAACCCATCTCTCCTGCCATGCTCATTCTCTGCCAAATCCGCCCCTCTTCCAACCTGAGCTCTTGAGGCAAGGGAGTGGGCACACCGGTTCAGGGCAGAGGTCTGAGCCTAGTTCTTATCTGTGCCTGCTGTAGTCTATTCATAACTGCACTGGAGCATACCAGCCTTGTCCTCCCTCTGTGCTTCATGCACAGACTGAAACAGTCAAGGCCAAAGTATCGCTGCCAGCAAGGCCCACTGCACATCCTCACACCCCATAAAGCTTGAACTGTCCTGGAAACACCATGGACTGGTATTGGGAAGGATCAAAGGTTCATACAAAATTCTATCCTAAACCAATCACTGCCAGAGAACAGTGCAGCGAAAAAGGAAACTGATTAGGAGAGGGCCTGGGGAAATAATTGAGTGGCTTTGTTCCAAAGGTGGGGGGTGATAGCAGGGGCTGAAATGGCCACCCTGGTTTTTCCTTTCTTTCAAAAAGGAAAACAGATGTTGAGAAAGTGATTAACAAACTAGCATGTCTCAAGCAGGATAGAACTCAAGGCCGTGTGAAGTCGGCTGAGCTTGGACGTGTAGTGTGTTTAAAAAAGAAAAGGGCAAAAACCGGTGTGGCAGTATTTAATAGGTGTGGGACAGGGCTGCTCTGAGGTGGATTGGAAAGGGAGGCCTGGTAACATCCAATACTGTTAAACCTGGAAATGAGGGTAGAACTGGAGGATCGGTGTGTGGGCTGAACTTTTGCTGGGGACGACTGGACTAAAGCCAAAGCTGGACTAGAGAGAACTAGAAACCATGTATAGACCCTAAATCCTCCTTAGCCTGCTGCTTCATTGGGTTAGTCAATTGACTGAAAATCCTGCTCACTTCCTGTGCAGCACATGGGACAGAAGCTGCCCTTACCTTAGCACAGTGGTCGGCAACCTTTCAGAAGTGCTGTGCCGACTCTTCATTTATTCACTCTAATTTAAAGTTTTGCGTGCCAGTAACACATTTTAACGTTTTTAGAAGGTCTCTTTCTATAAGTCTATAATATATAATGAAACTATTGTATGTAAAGTAAATAAGGTTTTTAAAATGTTTAAGAAGCTTCATTTAAAATTAAATTAAAATGCAGAGTCCCCCGGATCAGTGGCCAGGACCCGGGCAGTGTGAGTGCCACTGAAAATCATCTCGCGTGCCGCCTTCGGCACACGTGCCATAGGTTGCCTACCCCTGCCTTAGCAGGTTTGATCCTAAGGCCTTGTGTATGGTAAGAAAATTTGCAACAGTGTAAACAAATTGATGTAGTTACTGGTGCAATTTTTTTCTCTGTATAGACAAGGCCTAAATGGGGGATCTCTAGAGTAAAGGGAACCAGGGACTCATCTTGCAGGTTTCAGATTAAAAATGCCCATCTCTTGGAGGTGGGAAGGAAGGAAGGCATCTTTCTTATCTTCTCCCACACTTTCAACCTGCAGGATTTGAGCATTATCCCCACAGCCCTAAGACCACACCCAACAGCCTCTAACCAAGCTTCTTTCAGCAAGCTTGTATTACTGCAAAGACCAGCGATGGTAAAGTGTCACACGCAATGCTGGCTTTTGCAGCAAAGGGATTACTCTCTGCAGGTTGGAAGGTAGAGAAGCCTGGGCCTCAGCCAGGGGTGCGGAAGCAGCTGGAAATAGGGGAGTTCTACTGGTCTCGCCTGCTTGACTCAATATGTGGCTGAGCCGACAAAGCACAAAATGCAGGGTAAGAACAAACAGATTGGGGAAGCAGCCGGAGAAGTTCTCAACTGACTCATCTATGCCCAGCAGAAAGGTGACTTGCTGAAGAGCTACTGTTAGATAACAGCTGGCTGAATTAACTTGCAAGGATTTTTTGTCATGGTTTTTTTGGAGGAGCTGGATATCCAGGACACCCACTGAACTCAACGGGAGCTGCTGAAGGTGCTCAGCACCTCTGCAATCAGGCCAGTGCTCCTACCAGAACTGGGGGGCCCAGTCCAGGTCCCAGCAGCATAAACCTACCTTTGGATAAAACGAGTATCACATCTCCTGCCTGGAACTCCAGGTCCTCGGGCTGGATGGCTTCATAACTGTATCGAGCTACCACATGGTTTGCTTCCAGCTGTTGTGGTGGTGTCTTCTGGGTACCCTCCTCAGCTTGGCCATCTTCCCCTCTGGGTAAATCTTTGTCTCCCTAATACAGGAAACAGCCTGTTGAGATGCCGCTTGGTGTTTCCTTTAATATGCATGTCTATGTAAGAAAAGCTACTGACTGAATTTCACAGGAGGAGCTAGCAATGCTCTTACACTGTAAGTTTACTTGTGTGTCAGATGAACTGTGTATGTCTTCCTCTATCCAGACAGACCCATTTGGTAGTTCGTGGGCAATGTAATTATCCTATATCTTATCTACTGTACCTACGGGGGGCGCTGTGGCCCGAAGGCGGGGGGAGGGGAATAGAGTGTGCACTCTAATGCTTTGTGAAGCATGCTGAGGTCCTTGTGTGAACGGCATCACAGAAGTGTAAGATACTAGGAGTGGGACTTGGGCCCTTCTAGGTTCACTTGTAGCCAGAAGCCTGGCTCCCAGGCTCCTGCTGTGAGATCAGCCCAGGACTCAAATAGCCAGTGAAGTGGTGGGCATGGCCTGCACTCACTGATCCTCACCTGGTACAGCTGGGTCGAGGGGGCTGAGTTTGTCTCCAAGGCAGGAGCAAGAAATCAACAGCTGGCCCACCAGGGAATCTACCCATGCATAGGGGTCAAACCCACCCAACCTCCCTGGGAAAAGCATCCATTGCCAAAGCCCCTGAAGTGTCAACTGCCCCCCGCCTCCGCAAGGCTGCACTGATGTGACAGGAATGGCTTATGGGGAAACACGGATGGGCATTGCTTCTGTCCCCCTCTGACGCTCTGCAGTGTGCGCGCTCAGGGGGTAAAATGCCTCTCCGAGCTGTTCCTGCAGCTCCAGCAGCTGGCTGAGTGCAGCAGGAGGCCAGGCTGTCCTTTGCAGGACATTCGATCACCACTGATATGCCTGGGTTCAAAGCCAGGCTTCTCTCCACCCTTGCACTGCTCATCAGAGCTAGGTTGTGCCCGCCTTTGTGTTTGATGGTTACCTAGGTCACCAACAGATGCAGGGCATACAGGGCTGGGTGCCTCAGTAGCTTGACTCATTTCACTAGAGGACTGGGGTTGTACACGAGGTCAAAGAAAGGTCTGTGCAAAACCAAAGGAGAATGAAGTTCTCTTGCTTGGGCCTTGCTGCTCCCCTTGCTCAGCACAGGTACCTGCACCACCATTCTAGGGATGGGATGAAATCTGGAGTGGAACTGAGTTCTTGGGGAGGCAAGTGGAAGAGGGCTCGGAAGGACCCCCACCACCAGAGAAGTTTAAAGTTAGAGCCTCCCGCAAGGGCTCTGGCATTCTCTGGAGGCGCTGTCTTTAAAAATTCAAACCAGCCTCTGCACTTAGCCACTGCTGGGAGTGGGATTGCTGGGGGGCTTGTTCCAGGGAGCTGCCACCTGGCCCCCAGCACACTTTGCAGGCTTTCACCCCAGCAAGCCTTTTGTTCCTAGACTTTCACACAACCTCTTCCCGCTTAATGGGCTATCCAGTCCTTGAGAGACGGCCTGTGCTGCGCCGAGTGTGATGGTCCCCTTTGCATTTGGGACCCAAGTACAGCAGTGGCCTGGGGTGGGGTGTTGCAGCCTGTGAAAGACGGGAATTGCAGGGTAGGTACGGTGGAGAAAGGAGCTGATCGCTCGTTTTGAAGGGCTGGCTTCTTCGAGATGCCCCCCTGCACCTCTGGCCCTGCCTTCCAGTTCCTGGTAGCTGGGGAGGGATGGGCGTGGGCTTGTCATACAGGAGCCCAAATCTGAATAAATTGGGCCCAAATTTAGAGGTGAGCACAAGCTGATACAACTTCTAACTCCCTGCCCCAGTGCACACTACCCCGGCTCAGAGTCATTCCGATTTAAGTGGTCTCTCACCCATGTAATGCCCTGTCATGCACACAGCCCCCCTCTCCACCCCCACACACTCACACCACCTCTGAATGCCCCACTGATTCCAAGAGAGTCCATGCCAGCGTAACTGGCCAGGAGACAGGAATGTACCAGACTGCATCTACTTTAGCAGACACCTTCTGGGTCCCGGGGTGTAAGTTACACCAATGGGTGCTACCTCAAACACACAGGTTCTCAAACTTCATTGCATAATGACCCCCACACCCAGGCTGCATATTTGAGGGCCATGGGGAGTTTTACACCACTTTACATAGCACCTTTGAGTTTGGCCCTCAGCTCTGGATTTACCACATTCTCTCTATTACTGTCCCTCAGACTGAATGACTTTCAAATATCATATTTGAAATATTCTTAAATACTGTATTTCTCTCCCAAATTCAGCCAGCAGGAGTCCCTGCTGATAAGCTAGGAATGCTGGTGCCAGAAGCTGTCCACAGTCAGCGAGCATTAGAACCCAGGGTTACTGACCTCTGTGACGTCGCACCACAGTGTCAGGCAATAGTCCTTAGCGTGACTCCATACTGTCTTCATGCTGTCCTCGCTCAGAGTTACCAGCTCCTCACTCTCTGCAGGCCGGTACCTGTGCCATACAGGAAAATTCGCGTGAGACCAGAAGCTCCCTGAAGATGAGGATGATGCTGAGACAGGGCAATAGCTCACCTCAGTTTTGTATGCTCTGGTGTGAGCTCCAGTTTCTTGCACACCGTGTCCAGGAGTTCGCTGTAGTTGATTCCAAGCCGGACTGGTATTGCTACTGTGTACTTGTAATGCACCTTGAGAACATATGGGCTTGAGGTAGCTGATCCTGCATCCTGCAGGGGAAAAGTAGAATTGAACATTGCAAGCTGCACCACAGAAGCCTTATTGTATAAATACAGGTAGTTATGACTCATTAAAAGACGAGGAATGAGGCCTGCAAAAATCAGGGGGCTGGCATGGAAACAGAAACCTTTCGTCTCTAAGCCACTGGTTCCATTCTGACGCAGGTCACCAGCAGGGAGTCTTAATAGCTTTTCCAGCAGATAAGTGTCTATGTCACAAAAGCCACCATCACAACTAAGGCTTATTGGCAAACACGGTGGCAATTCTAGGAGGGAAGCCAAGCCACTCTTGACCACTCTGAAAGCAATTCACTCTGGCCAGTCAGGGCACGCTAGTGCAGATGGTGTGAGAGAGACTTGCATTGCCCTGGCTGTGCAGGGAGAGGACAGAGGATACCTCTCCAAAAGCTACCCCAATCATTAACTTACCAGCACAGTAAAAAGTCAAAGGATGTGCTTGGATGCATTGACAGTCTTAGATCCTGCTGTCCAGCTGACCCGCAGCCTGGCTATTACTTTTCAGAGAGGCTATTAGTATAGAAGGTGACAAGCTCAAAAATGTTGCTGGTTTTACAGCAGTTGCTGGTTCTGCAGCACTTGCAAAAGCGCAAACATTCACCCCAAGGTACAATAAATGCTTGTGTATATGGACAGTATGTATTCCCCCTTCAGTGGTTCCTCTCCACAAGCACACAGGGACATCCATTACCTTTGCAGCTTCTTGCTGCTCTTTTCCAGAAGTACCAGGACCGTGAGCTGAATGGAGAGCAGAGGAAAAAGTAGGTGAATGAACTCTAAGCAGATAACTATTGTCACTCTCCATGCAAATATACGCTCAGATTCATGGCAGCCCCCTCACCCCACATCTCTCATTACATCAAACAGTGACAGATAAGCACATTAGCTTGTTGCTGCTAAAATGAGTGAAATCATTAAAGTGTCATTAGGTTTTGCCGTTAGCACCTCATTGAGATGAATGGAAGCAACCCAAATTTCTATGACTCAGGCCAATAACACTGCACCATCTACACCTGATTTCACATTTTAAATATTATTTTTGCAACCATAGGGCATAGAGACAGTATTTTTTTAAAACATAAAAGCACAAATTGCTGGGTAACGTAACATAATCTGCACTGTGTGGCTATTCGTGTGGCTGAGTGAGCTCCTTAACCACTGGATAGTGCACCTAGCAGAGGAGGTTGGTTCACACTGTAACAGTGGATGAAATTTGTCAGACTTGCTCAGGGTTCAGTTTATAATGGTCTCTCCGAGAGGCTGAGGACTTGACAAGACACTGTAAGTTCCAGCACTAATGGTAGCCAAGTTAGCGCAAGTGGCAGAGGTCTGGATTTTTAGAACGGAAGGGAAGTTAGACTCCCCGTGTTTAGACTGATAAACTAATGATCATGATGTACAAACATGTATGCAACTCTCGTCTCTCATACCACTTACAGTCTCAGCTCAGGGTTTTGGATCTGTGAAGATCTGTTAATGTGTGGACTGGGAGTCAAACCTCCTGGCTTTTGTTCCCAACTCTGCCCCTGCCTTGTTGTGTGACCTGGGGCAAGTCACTGGGGAGTTCCCATAACTCCAGGTGCTCAACACTTTTCAACTGATCTCTCTGTGCATCTGTTTCCTTCTCTGTACACTGCAGATAACTCTTAACTCACAGGGGTAAGGTTAAACTCATGGGAGCAGATCCTCAGCTGGTGCAATTGAAGTCAATGCAGCTATGACAGTTTATGCCAGCTGAGGATTTGCCCCCTGGTTTGTTAATGCTTTGACACTGGAAGGCATTACAGAATGGCCAGCGCACCAGGGTATTCAATATGGTCCCACTGCGAGATTTGTGCTCGGTTTTAATGATTTTGCTGGGCTACAGAGCCTGCTGGATGTGAAGGTTCCCTGAGCCTTCTGACCCACAAAGGGCTAATTGGTGTGGCTGTCAGCTCTGCTAGCATTGGTGAATGTTACTCTGCTAGTGTCTCTGAAGTACAGATGACTGGAAGAAAGGAAGTCTTTTTTTCTGGGAATTTTTAAACACTGCAGACATTTTTAGGTTTTTATGAAAAATTTAACAAATTGTTGGAAAAACTGGTAAATGCTCAAACTAACTCTCATTCTGAAAGAGTGCCATTCTTGGTCTTTTTTCATTTAAAAAAAAAAAAACTTTCATCCATTTCTTTAGTTCCCTCCTTTCTGAAGGTGGCTTTGTTTGGCCGTGGCCTTTGAAAGTGATTGCTCTGTTCCAAACAAGACAGCCAGCTGCCAGTGTTGTGTCCCTGTCCGACACCTGATTATGTTCACAGACAGCTGTGTCTGGCTCTAAAGCAAGTTCAGATGCAGCTGTTTCCACCTGCCCCAAGCCACCATCCAACCCAGTGCAAAGTGGCCCCTCTGCTGACAGTCTGAGCAGAGGGCAAGGAGTGACATGGTAGAGGTGGTTCTCCTGCTCAGGATGGAAGCCCCGTTCCAGAGCCTCTGCCTACCCTGCTGCTCCTTGGTTCTGCCTGTTCTGGGGCCATGCAACGCTTCATTTACCAGCACAGCACTGCCCACGATCCAGTTCAGACTAGGGGATTGGTGACTGTTCATTGTCAATGCTTTATGGGGAATTGGCTGTCAATAGCCAGGATCTTGCAGGCAGTGGCTAATGACCACTTAGTTTAGAAGTAAGCTTAGGTGTTTGTTTCCTGCTCATGTTAACCTTCGGAGACTAAAAAGCTTATGCCACTTCAGGAGTTGCAGCTTCTTTAGAGGGCAGGGGGAAATTAAAGTTATGCTGGATATATGAACAGGGTTAAAAGATTTAGAACATAAGACTGGCCATATTGGGTCAGACCAATGGTCCATCTAGCCTGGTGTCCTGTCTTCTGCCAGTGCCGGATGCTTCAGAAGGAATTAACAAAACAGGCAATTATCAAGTGATCCATCCCCTGTTGTCCACTCCCAGCTTCTGCCAGTCAGATGTTTAGGGACACCCAGAGCATGGGGTTGCTTCCCTGATCATCTTGGCTAATAGCTATTGATGGACCTAACTTCAGTGAACTTAGCTAATTCTTTTTTGAACCCAGTTATATTTTTGGATTTCACAACATCCCTGGGCAAAGAGTTCCACAGGTTGACTGTGTGCTGTGTGATGCGGTACTTCCTTATGTTTGTTGTAAACCTGCTGCCTGTTAATTTCATTGGGTGACCCCGGTTCTTGTGTTATATGAAGGGGTAAATAACACTTCCCTGTTCATTTTCTCCACACCATTCTTGATTTTATAGACCTCGATCATATACCCTCTTAGTCATCTCTTTTCTCAGATGAATAGTCCCAGTCTTCTTTAATCTCTCCTCATATGGAAGCTGTTCCATACCCCTAATTTTTTTTTTGTTGCCCTTCTTTGTACCTTTTCCAATTCAAACATTTTTTTGAGATAGGGTGATCAGAACTCCACACGGTATTCAAGGTGTGGGCATACTATGGATTTATATAGGGGCATTATTATATGTTCTGTCTTATTATCTATCCCTTTCCTAATGGTTCCTAACACTGTTAGCTTTTTTGACAGCCGCTGCACTTTGAGTGGAGAACACATCTTCAGGTTCCCTGAAGACCTCTGCTAAGACCATGAGTCAATGTAAAAAAAAGTCCCTCAGCAGAGTCCACTGAACATAAGAACAGCCATACTGTATCAGACCAAAAGTCCATCTAACCCAGTATCCTGTCTTCCGACAGTGGCCAATGCCAGGTGCTTCAGAGGGAATGAACAGAACAGGTAATCATCAAGTGATCCAACCCCTGTTGCCCATTCCCAGCTTCTGGCAACAGAGGCTAGGGACACGATCCCTGCCCATCCTGGCTATTAGCCATTGATGGACCTATCCTCCATGAATTTATCAAGTTCTTTTTTGAACCCTGTTATAGTCTTGGCCTTTATGAAGAAATACTTCCTTTTGTTTGTTTTAAACCTGCTGCCTATTCATTTCATTTGGTGACCCTTAGTTCTTGTGTTATGAGAAGGAATAAATAATACTTCCTTATTTACTTTCTCTACACCCATCATGATTTTATAGACCTCAATCATATCTCCCCTTAGCCGTCTCTTTTCAAGCTGAAAAGTCCCAGTCTTATTAGTCTCTCCTTATATGGAAGCTGTTCTATGCCCCTAATAATTTTTGTTGCCCTTTTCTGAACCTTTTCCAATTCCAATATATCTTTTTTGAGATGGGGCGACTACAACTGCACTCAATATTCAAGATGTAGGCATACCATGGATTTATATAGAGGCAATATGATATTTTCTGTCTTATCTGTCCCCTGCTTAATGATTCCCAACATTCTGTTCGCTTTTTTGCCTGTATAATTGGGATTATGTTTTCCAATGGGCATTACTTTGCATTTATCAATACATTTACATTTGATCCTGATCCTGATCATCCAACTGCAGGCAGCCATCCAAAATTGCATCAAATGAGGCCAAAGATGGTAAGCAGTTTTTTGCTGTCTAATACAGGGGTTCTCAAACTTCATTGCATCACGACCCCCTTCTGACAACAAAATTACTACATGACTCCAGAAGGGGGACCAAAGCCTGAGCCCGCCCGAGCCCTGAACCTCAGGTGGGGAGGACCTGTAACCTGAGCCCCGTCACCCAGGGCTGAAGCCCTTGGGCTTTGGCTTCGGCCCTGGGCGCAATGGGGCTCGGGCTTCAACTTCAGCCCTGGGTGGTGGCGTGGGGCTCAGGCTTTGGCTTCAGTCCTGGGCCCCAGCAAGTCTAACACCACCCCTGGCAACCCCATTTAAATGGGTCACGATCCACTTTGGGGTCCTGACCCACAGTTTGAGAACCGCTGGTCTAATAGAAAAGCCATTCCAACATTAGAACCCCAGATTAGGATCTTCTAGGGTGCCAACAATGTCTCAGATCTGGTCATTCAGACACGACGCTCCCCACGAGATGGTTTCAAAGGGTTTGGAATGAACACGCTCACTCATCCTCTTCTCCTCTCAGCCTCACCCTCCACCAGCCTGGCCAGCTTTAAAAAGTGTTAACCACTGTGTCTTAGCACAGCTGAGTGCTTCTGGTCCAGGTCCAACAGGGCTGCTAGCAGCTGACGCCTTACAGCACACAGCTGCTTTCCACTCTGGGGTCAGAGGATGCTGTCTTTGGGCTTGGCAAATGGGACAGTTTCACACCTTCATTCAGCAATTGGAGCCCCCTCCTTCTCCTATCAGGCAAATGCTGGAGAATAGTGTGGAACTGGGGACTCCAGCAGCTTGCAGTGAAGTCAGCCACTGCTGCTGCAAACCCAGGTCCATCTTAAATGGCGCAACATACAGTAACAGAGCGTACAGCCCCAGGAAAGGCAGGCAGCAGCCTGCTATGGGATGGTCTTGTGCTGATTTCCCTGCACTGGGAGGTGAGTGAAGTGGGTTTAGTTCTCAGCTCTGCAACCTTGGACAAGATACTTAATTTACTCTGTGCCTCAGTTCCCTTTCTGCAGGATGGGGACAACAGCAACTCCTTTGTCTGACTTGTCTATTGAAATAATAAGTAGGGAGTTCGGGACTGTCTGTACAGCACCTCGCACAATGGGCCCCTGATCTCAGTAAGCGCCGCTCGGCACTACCACATTACCGATTGTTCTCAGTAACAGTGTCTGAGTGTGCGTACACTGGGGGTGCAGCATTCATCACAGTCCAGACAGCCCTTAGCCAGGCACACTGAGGATCTTTTCTTCTGAGGGAGTAAAATCAGCCTGACTGTCCATATGAGATGGAATTGAAGGTTCAAGCAGCTTTTCAAACACGGCCCTCGTGCCCCCTGTCCCAGCAGCACTGAACAAGCAGTGGGAGTCTCTGAAAGCCCAAGCAGGGGCCAAATAATTTGGAGCAGGGTTCAGAGCCCTGGGAGAGAAGCCCACATTTAAAGCTAAAGCAGCAAGATTGGGTCTAACAGTCCCAACTAACCCCTCAAAGGCAGTGAGTGTCCACAGCGGGCAGCCTGCAAACCACGAGCATCTTCCTCCCAAACACGCCCCGCTTGTACCCAGATGCTGTGCCAGCTCTGGGCCCTGACTTTGTACTGTTCCCCACCAGTGAGACAGGATTTAGGGGGGGAGGTTCTTAAGTGTCCACGTGATTTAGGAGCACACTTTCAAAGTGCTTCCAAGTGACCTGAAGGCTTGTGACAATCCAACCCTCTGTTCTTCTAGTCCATCACCAGCGCTGTGCCATAGAACACTACAAATGACTGGCCCCTGCTCTGGCCGCTCTCTACTGCTCCAACAGCAAATAAGGGCCACACAAGAGCTGCAGCTGGCTGGGACGAATTCCCCCAGGGCAGATACAGCAGAGCAAGGGTATACTGGGGGCTGCAGGAAAGAGGGGGCACACCATCAGATAGGGTGAAACTAACACCGAGTGCCTGTTCCCACCAGCTCAGTGATCCCCAGGTGCGACGGTCACTGACCTGGTGCTGGAGACCTGGGCTTTTCCGGAGCGGTGGAACTGGGTGGGGCAGGGATGTCCAACTCAGCAGGGGTTTCCTCCTGTGAAGGATGTGACTATAGTTAGTGTTACTATCAGCCGGGGGCAGCACTGGGGAGCTGGGGCCCTGCTGTCCTGCGTGTGAGATTCCCTTTTAGTACACCGGGCAGAGCTGCTGCTTTGGGATCTTGGGTGGTAGGATCTGGGCCTCGCATCCCTGCTGGGACTCACTGGCCACAGGGATCTTGGAGGGGTGGTTTGGGTAGCCCTAGCTCAGCTCCCCACCATGTGTGATAGTGCTGCAGTGCTGGGTGGTACCCCTAGGGGACAGTGTGTGTATGGAGGGAACTGCCTGGCAGAGCCTCTACGTCTCTCAATCCATTCAGGTCCTGATGGAGAGCAGGGTGATGAAACACTCGGTCTCCCAGCAGCGCAGGCAATCCCTGGCTACCACACTATGGACCATGGGATCCGCATCTGCCGAGGTATATGGACATTCATGAAGGTGGGGTGCCTTGGTCATCCTGATTTGGGGGAGTCCTTGGTGCTCCAGGAGCAATTCATGCAACCCTCGTGACCATGCAGGGCTGGAGAGCATGAGGCAGTGGGCGCTGGGGGGGTGCTGCAGGCAGGTGCCCCTGCATACAGTAACAGTGACAGCGCTGTAGGCTCTGGTGAGCTGCAGCATCATTCTCCTGGTGTGAGACACCACTCTGCTGGGAAATATCTATTCCAAAGGGGCTGCTAGTGTGCCAGTCTGGCTTACCCGGACCTGCGGCTGGTTCTGGAGCTCCACGGCCTCAAGGTAGTTACAGGGGACAATCCCTTTCTGTGGGGAGGGGAGACACACAGACAAAAGCAGGAGTGGTTAGGAGGAGACTGCGACAGCATTACACATTAACATATGGGTAGAACCACAGGCTGGGAAGGAGCAACTCAACCATGCCCATCAGTCTGGGGGTCTCCTCTACACCTGTAGCCTGGAAGGGCAGCTGCTGCAGAGTTTAGATTTGTTTCTTGTGGCCTCTTCCAGTTCAGAGAGGTGTCTGAGCAGCCTAGAGCTGAACCTACTGTCCCAGGAGGAGGATCATCTAAGAACAGGGAGCATGCCCCCCTGCATGGTATCTGATCAGATAGCAACCAATCTGCTCTTGGTGGCCTTTCTCAGACAGCTTGCACTTCTGTGTCACGAAGCTAGTGTGGGCTGACACAGCTTGGGGCTAGTGCCCGAGACTGCTTTCATGTGAGGGATCTGGCTGCAGGTGCAACCTCAGGGCTCTTGCACTTTGGGGTGAGGGATGCATCTGAGGGCAAGGCGGGGCTTGGATGGCCTTTTGAAGGTCACTAACAATTGATGGGGGGAGGTGCTGAATGAGACCAGCTGTACAGGAAGGAAGTGTGGTCAGGCCTTGGAGGTGAGAGCCCAGCATCCCCTTCCTGGCTCTGCCACTCGCTGCTGCTTCACCGTGGGCAAGTCATTTTGTGGCTTCCGCTTCCCCACCTGTAAAACAGGGACCTCCCAGGGGTGGCGTGATGGGTACTATTAAAGTGCATGGGGTGCACTGTAGAAATGCAGGGCCGAGGGAGCAGCTAGCGGGGATGCAAGGAACAAGCTACGGATCCCACAGTGAGAAGGTGGGTCGAAATGCCCTGCAGGGGCCAGACAGCCTGAGGTGGGGCTGGGGCGGGTGAGCAAGGCAGTCTGTGCTCAGATGCTGGCTGATGGAATTAGAGGATGCCAGGAAACAGCTCCCTCAGGTAGCTGTAGCAGGGAAGGATCCTACCAAGCCTAGAAACATGTCTGTGTTTGCAGCACTTTGCAGGCTGCAGCGAGGACCCTAAAACACATGGGTCAGATACCAGGCCCCAGCAGAAAAGCAATGACATACAAAGCAACCCAGCAAACCCACCCAGCAACTCGGGCCTGGCAATGCCCCATAGAGGTCAGTGGGGGCTTTGGCATTGCCTTCAATGGAGCAGGAGCAGGCCCTTAGCAAGTGCCAGCACTGGCCTGGCAAAGCCCACGTGTGGAATGGGCTCTAAGTACCTTCCCGTTGAACATAACGGTGGCCCAGTTGTCCTTCCCCTTCGTCAGGACAAAGACAATGTTTCCCGGCAGGACTTGCAGCTCCTCTGCGGTCTCGGGCGTGAACTCGAACAGCACACGGTGAGGCTCCCCTTCCAGGGCCCTAGATGGGGAAGCAATGGCTGGGTCAGCTGGGAAGAGTGCTGCCGCCTTCCTTAGCTTTGTCTTGGATCTTTTGTTCTCCTGGGCCTCTCCCCTCCTCCCTCTTTTTCTAGTGGCTGAGGCTGTCACAATCACTATGTCAGAAGAACATCGTCCTCCCTCACCCTATCTGCTCATTTTACCCCATTAGCTCTGCAGTGGGAGAACAGAGAGCTGGATTTTGGCCCGATGCACCCCTCACCGTGGTATCGAAGCACCAAGTACATCATCCCCATATACCTCCAAGCACTTTACAAAGCAGGTAAGTAATAAGTATCATTACCTGGCTCCATTTTATAGATGGGGAAACTAAGGCACAGAGTGGCAAAGTGACTTGCCAAAGGTCATTCGGGAGGTCAGTGGCAGGGCTGGGAAGAGAGCCCAGGACTTCTGGCTCCCGGTTTAATGCCCCACACTGCCTCCCATAAGCAAACTAAGAGCTGATTGCACAGTGTCCTCCAGGCGCTGATATGAGAGGCAGCAGGAATCCTTGACTCTGGGAGCCCGGGCGCTGTTTGAGGGCAGTAATGAAACTGAGCATTTGATCTGCAGAGGGAGTGCCTGGGAACTGGAGTCGGTGAAGGAATAAATATGGCCACCCCACAAGCCCTTTCTCTGAATACAGCCAGGCTCCTGTTTCCCTGCTTAAGCCCCTTGTCACTTTAAGCCTTTTATCTATGGCAGTTTTCAATGTGTGGCCTTTCACCAGAGGGAGCTGCAGTGTTTTTTCAAGGTGGGAATACAAGCACTGTGGCTAAGGAGAGACGAGGAAGGCGAGAGCAATCCTGCCTCTCTAGTATCAGACCAAAACGCGCTGTAGGACTCCTGGAGACAACTGAGGGCCTGTCAGCATCCTGTGCTCTTCTGCAGCGTGTCTTCATGCTGCCTGGGGATAGCTCAGGTTAGGAGAACAGGAAACCCCTCTGCTGCTTCAGCACAGTTGGTACGTAAAGCACGAGGCTGGGGGAGCTCAGTTATACAGAGTAAAGAGCAGCTGGCCGCAGCACTCTAGTAAAGAGCATGTGGTTTTCCATGGCACTTCAGGGAATCATAGGTTGAGCCCCTCTGAAGGCAGAACTGCATATGATTGCCACTAAATTAGGATGGAAGTTGCTAGGTTAGGCAAACAGAAACGTGATGTTTGTGCTGTTGCAATGGGGCTAGTGTCTGATGCCATCTCTCATCCTCCCCCCACACGCAGTCTCCTCACTCCTTCCATCGCTCACTCAGACTGCATCCCCAAAGCACACGGGACAGTAGATAGGGAGCTGAACCTATCTGGCATTACAGCTGTAAGTTACCGACTCCTGTTAGGGGTGGCATTGTTCTGAATGCAACCAGCACCAGAACTGGAGGAAATCCAGTATCCAATATAGAGCGAGTGTGCGTGTGACATGGCCAGTCTGGGAGCTGTAACTGCACAGAGCCTCGATACTGGGACAGGTGCTACACACATTACTACTATTCTGCTTTTATATAGGACCAGTCATCTGAGCCTGGTGCAGCACCTTGCATAAACTGATGCCTCCCACCCCCGACTTTGTTTAACTCCCCTAGACTTCGTTTAACTCACCGGAGGATTTCTGGCGTCTTTGGTCTGGGTGGAGGGCCAGGCGTCTGTAAACAAACAAACAGAACCTAAATAATCCTGCTGGTTTCATCTCTCTGCAAAAGGAATCCCTCCAGGCTCCTAACACATCTCTTGCCCTTCTCGGGATGTTTCCTTTCTCCTAATACAGACCAGCAGTTTAATACTGGCAATGGCACGATCTCTGTTCCCTTCTCAGTGCAGCCCAACCCTTTATTTGCCCCCAGGACCATTGCTGTGATTTGGCAGCCAGCTCAGGAGATGTTCATAATGTCACTTTGGCTCATTCCCCTAAGGGTCTGTCTACACTGCAATTAGACACCTGCGGCTGGCCTGTGCTAGCTGGCCTGAGCTAAGGGGCTGTTTAATTGCAGTGTAGACGCTCAGGCTGCAGCCTGAGCTCTGGGACCCTCCCACCTTGCATGGTTCTAGAGCCCTGCTCCAGCTGAGCCCAAACATCTATACTGCAATTAAACAGCCCCTTAGCCCAAGCCCCGTGAGCCCGAGTCAGCTGGCACGGGCCAGCCACAGGGGTCTAACTGCAGCTTAGACAGACCCTAAGAGGCCACAATTTAACCCAGAGCCCATTCAGCCACTTCATTGTTTGTTTTAATATGCAGCACCATGCACTCACCTGCTCATGAATTTCAGCTGCCATCGTGGTGCTTAGCTTTGCTAGGCCCTTCTGCAGCACTACACAATCTCTAGTCTTAAACCAAATCATTTTGGATCCTTAGCCAATTTTACCACCGCTTCCAAGAGCTCTGCTACATTAAATATGGTCATACTACTGAACGGTAGGGAAACGTGCTATCGGCCTCTTGCCATAGTGGGAACGGCCCGCTTATTCTTGCAGTGGAGCTGTTTCAGTTCACAAGAGAACATACGCCTGCTGGCCCTGTGGTTACCTCACTTCCTTGATAATCTTTCAAGGAACTTTAATGAAAGCCTTCTGGTGGCTCACGAGTCTGAACCGGTGGAATGGCCTGAGAAGCAGCAAATGACAGCTGAAGCCCTAGTGGGGAGGTGTGTTTGTCAGGAAACTGAGGCTGGCAGGAGGGAGAGAGAAGGAGGGAAAATAACAGCGGAACCATCCGGGTCTTGTTGGATTTCCTGCAAGTTGTTGAAAATCAGCTTCACACGCAGGGTGTGTGGATGCGACAATCAGGTGGGACTGCCGCATGCGTGGACAGAACCAAACTAGCCCTGCTCTAGTTAGCTTGCATCACAGTGGAAGTGACGCCCCAGCAGCACGGGTTGTACAGTGCCACCCAGGACGCTGGGTGTGGGCTGGAGCAGCTAGCCCGGGCTGCCGCCTGTGCCATCACTGCTGCTGCTGCTGTTTGAGCTAACGAGGTCAAATCTAGCTGCTGTGTCATCTGTGATTGCAGTGCAGACGCGTGCACACGTTCTCTCATTGGCAGCACTTGCTGTATTGTGCTAAGCATGTTACGACGCACCCAATGCTGCCTCACCTGCAGCTGAAGCGGAGCAAACCCTGAAAAACTATCCTTGTCGACGACAGATGCCACGACCTGCAGACAAAGAGGGGAAAGGTCGTTACTTGGTTCTTCTCTGGCTTTCCCCAGCTCCCACTCCCTCTCCTGCCCCCTTGCTCCCACGCTTTTGCTTGCTACTCACTGTAATCTAACCTTCCCACGGCCCTGACTCTCCAGCTTTGGAAAATCCCTGCTAACTGCTCCAATTCCCATGTATTCCTGACCCAACCACCATGGGGGCCGCTGTTCCTCTAGTGGTTCTAACACCCAGCCCTGGTTCAAGACGAGCAGCCGTGTCTTCAGGCTAAACACTTTCAACTGCGCTGCAGGGCACCTGAGCCTGCCCTCTCCCGGGAGTGAGCTCTCAGGCCTGAGCCTTGCCCCTGGAGCACTGCAAGGGACACTGGTGGCTTAAAATTCAGCTATATTTGTAGCCTGAGCTTCTCAAAGCAGCTGGAGACAGCTAGGTTCCCAGCTCCCTTTCAGTGTGGTTTTGGTCCTTAACTCCCTTAGGCTATTTTGAAAATCCTGGCCTTCGAAACCAGACGCCCTTACGTGCATTACTGACAGCCCCTGGGAGCACTGGAGCTGACAGGCTGTTGGTTGGCTGATCTGCTTTGCACCTCAGCTGCTGCTGGTTTATTTTCTGGCTCAGGCAGTGGCAAGGGAACGAATTGGCCATTCGCTTCCCGGTTCTCACGGACTAGGTCAGTGCCGCAGTGTTTGGCTCTCACGCACTGAAGGGGGTCTGAAAACATGGTTGCACACAGGCCAGTTTTCTTGTTTTATTCATGCAGCTTCCAAATTTTAAAATGGATTTCTACTGATTTCCCTCCCGCTACAAGTGGCTGAGTCCCTCAGGGCAGGGACATCTGCAATTCCCTGTTCTCCTCTGTGCTGCCAAGACTCAGCCAATAATAAAGAAGTAGTGATCCCTAGGCAGAGGCCAGCGAGTTGGCTCCTCTGACCCACAGCCCAACTTGAGAAAACAGCATGTTCATTCCTCCCCCTTGGATGAATTTCCTACCGTAGCTTTTCCCAGGTAATCCTTCTTCTCCAGCTGAGCCACTTGCTTTTCATTTGGCCTAAACAGCTTCCCTGGAGGAATCGCCACCGGCTCAAAGAGTCTATGCTTCTGCAGCACACAGAAATCACAGTGCTTTTCAGGGATACGTGTGGAGAACACAGCTTGCTCCAGCATTGCCTGTCTTCTGTCTTTCTGTTTAACTCTCTCCATGTAAACTCAACCCAATTGCCCCATTTGTGTCGACGCCAGCTCCCCCAACCTCACTCAATCCAGCCACCCCCTCCCCACAATCCCCGCTCAATCCAACTGTCCCCTGCCCCACAACCCCACTCAATCCAGCCGCCCCCTCCCCACAGCCCCTGCTCAATCCAACCACTACCTCCCCACAACCCCCACTCAATCCAGTCGCCCCCTCTCCACAGCCCCTGCCCAACCACTCCCTCCACACAACCCCCACTCAATCCAACCGCCCCCTCCCCGCAACTGCCCCCTCCCTGCAACCCCACTCAATACAACCGCCCCATGACCCAGCCCCTCCCCACTCAGCCCGACCACCCCCTTGCTTCAACCCCCACTCCCCACAAAAAAAGCCCACTTGGCCCAACCATCCCCTCACAAGCCCACTCACCTGCAAATCCCACCGTCTACCCTGAAACCCACATTTCCTGCAATATTTCTCAGCTTTTTCTGCTGCTCTTGTAAAGTCTCTGATCAAGGACAGTTTCTCGCCTTCCTGAAATTCAGAGCCTCTCTCATCCCTACGGGTCCCTAGCTTTTCAGTGTGAGCCTAGATAGGAAAAGACCCACTGAGTAATCCCTAGTGTTATTCTTTACCAAGATGGCTTCCATCGCCCTGTCAATCTTGTTGTGCCGGGGCTCAGTCTTCATGCTTATCGCCAGCGTCAGATGCTCTTCAGCTTTTCTCCAGTCCTCCAGCTTGGCATAGAGCAGGGCTATGTTATACAACACCTGCAAGGTCGACAGGGAGCAGAGAATGGGCGATCTCCACTGACCCACTCCCACCGCAGAGCAGTGGCCTACGCCAGAGGGGAGAATGCAGACCTGCGATGGCCCACGTTACTGCATATGGCACCCGCTGCCTGAGGACACTGCTGAGGGGTTTGCTTGTCCTTGCATCCCAAAGGAGGATCCAGAAAGCCTCTCTGAAGGCAATGAGGTGATGTGTGTGTTTGAGGGGGAAGGAGAGGACTTGCTTCTTTTTGTAACGATTCTGCTTCCTGCTTGTAACCTTCCTAACAATGATCACGCTCTTTACCCAAGGGCCATGTGACTTGCCCTCACCAGGACCAACTCATCTCCCTTTTCAGGGGGATTTGGATACAAAGAGAAGCTAGTTTTACATCTCTAAAGTTACCGGTCCTAGTGAACAGTCTTCAGTAATCAACCTCCTACGTCCCTACGCTCTGAAGGCCAAATCCTGACTTTGTCCAGCTCTGTGAGGCAGAACCTGCCCAGCTGTGAACTCCTGCTTTGAATCCTCATGGGATTTGAATCCCAAGGGAGTCTAGGGAAGACGCCCCTTTCCTCCAGGGGTGGTGTCTCCACAATGCCTAATTGCCAGATGATAATCAGTAGGGCCCTACCAAATTCACGGTCCATTTTGGTCAATTTCACAATCACAGGATTTTAAAAATAATAAATTTCACGTTTTCAGATATGTATTTAAATCTGAAATTTCATGGTATCGTAACCATGGGGGGGTCCCAACCCAAAACTGAGCCGTGGGGGGTGGGGTGGTCAGAAGGCTATTGTAGGGGGGTCACAGTATTGCCAGCCCTACTTCTGTGCTGCTGCCTTCAGAGCTGAGCAGCTGGAGGGAAGCTGTTGGTCAGGCACCCATCTCTGAAGGCAGTGCCACTGCCAGCAGCAGCACAGAAGTAAGAGAGGCAATACCATATCATGCCACCCTCGCTTCTGCTCTGCTGCTGGCGGCGGCTCTGCCTTCAGAGCTGGGCTCTTGGCCAGCAGCCGCCACTCTCCAGCCGCCCAACTCTGTCAACTCTGGTCTTCCCTACAATAGCCAGATTTCACAGGGGAGATCAGATTTCACAGTCCATGATGCATTTTTCACAGGCATGAATTTGGTAGGGCCCTAATAATCAGGGTAGAGAGGATGATGTGTCAGGGAAAGCAGTGCTCCCCCGGTCTCCCACAACGGTGGTGGTAGAGGTGGGGCTCATCCCTGACTGACTGACAGAGAAGAGCCCAGGCTGCAGACAGATCCTCAGCTTCTCACCCCAGAGCTGAGTCCCCGGGAAGGAGTGTGGCCCTAAGCCAGCCCTCACTGGTTATCACGAGGTGATCTCAGTCTTTTTTTTAACCTAGGAACCACAATATCATGCACAAAGGATTGTGGGAGTTTGGTCATGGGGGTGGAACTGGTGTTGCTGGGTGAGGTGGGGCTTGTGAGACAGGTGCATGTGCTAGGGGTCCTACCAGCTCTGGGATTTTGCTGCTTTCTCAGCCGCTGTACTGACTGCGTGTCCCCTGGTGACCCACTTCTCTGTTGCACCCACTGGCTGAGTGGCGCTGGGTTAGCAACCCCATTCCTTCACCTCCCATGGGCTTCCCAGCTGCCCTCGCTTGTCTCAAACACTCCCAGCCCCTGCACGCGCCTCACCTCACAAGCAAACAGCCTGAATGGCAGCCCCAGGATCTTGTAGTCTATCAGCAGGTTCCCTCGCAGCAGGGCCAACACCTCTTTAAAATCCTCAATGGCCAATTCATAGCTGTCGAGCAAAGAAAGGTGATAATCCATCAGGGCACGACTCTGTGCTAGTCTGGCTGCCTGTCAACCTTCAAGCCCACAGAGTCCTGCTCTAGCCCTGAGTTGCCCTAAGATGACCCCGCCAGCCCGTAGAATACTAATGGCCTTTTACCATTACCCAAGTCCTGGGGCTGTTTGGAGTCATTCACGTGAGATATGGCTGCCTCAAGGGTCTCAGATGTCAGAATCTCTTGGCACGAGTGCGTCCCCCTCCTCCTGGCCCATCGCAGTTTGCCAGCCCTAGCACTCTGAGGTCTGTGCCTCTCACCTCCATCCACGCTATTTTAAAAGCCACAATCAGTGTTAATAGTATTGTCATTGCCCTAGGCGCTGCACAATGTGAGAGACAGGCCACGCCCTGAAGGTTTTAGTTGTGTGTCTCCCCCATTGTCTTTGTCTTTTGGGGGGGGGTCTTTAAAGACACTGGGGTATTCCCCAGGCTCCCATACCTGTTCTCAACCCACTAGTCCTCTGCCTCTAAGCAAGAGAAAATGTTTAGCTTGGGAGGTGTACCCCAGCCCCAGTTACTCACCTTTGGCATCACAACAGGATTGACTTGCCAAATGACTGTTCTCAGCCAGTTGGGAACCAGGAAATGGCTCTGCCTAGAGGCAGCATGAACCCCCCGATTCTGGAGAGTGCGCCCAACACTTACTTCTCTCTCCTGTAAAACACTGTCCCGCGCTGGAAATAGGCCACGGCTAAGTGCTTGTCACGGTTAATGCTCCTGGCAAACGCCTGCAGAGAGCAGAAGGTGGTTCATACACAGTACAGACAGACTGGCGGAGAGCGGCAGAGGGAGACCCGGCCATTGAGTGCGAGGCTAGGGATCAGGGAGGAGTCCTAGAGCGATGCAGAGCAATGGAACATGCTGTGGAGAGACACTCGCCCTGGGCTGGGGTGAGGCATGAGGGCAGAACCACCAGGGAAGGGGCTAAATGAAGAGTGAATAAGAAAGGGGAACATGGAGAGAAGCAAGACAAGGGAGGGGTTGCCTCCTCCCCCGCAGCCTGTCCCTCTGTTACATGCCTGCTGTATTTCTCCTGACCAGTGTTTCTGATGCCCCAAGTGGAGACCAGAGGTGGTCAGGAAATTGTCGGGAAAGGCCTCTTAGGTCCACGGTGGAATTTCTGGACCCCCCACAGCTCTCCAGTATGGCCAATAGCCGGGTGGTTAGGGCACTCGCTGGGAACTGGACAGCTAGGTTCAAGTCCCTGCTCTGAATCAGGAAAACCATTTCCTGCCTGGATCTTGCTGGGACCCATGCACTAGCTGAATTTCAGTAGGGCAGAAGGAATGAACTGGGCGAACTGATGCACCGTAGTTGTCTCCCTGTGTCTTTCTAACCAGTTGCGTTATCCCTGCATGTTGATGTGTTCCACTCGGGGATGCTCCATATGGCCCCCTACATTGGGGTGTCAATCTCCCCTCCTACTCCCCCCGCCCTGCACCCAGTCTGGCCAGTTTGCCAGCCACCCCCTTGGATTTGTGCTGAGTGCCCTTCTGCATGTCAGGCTACAGATCAAGCCAGGTGTTGGACCTACTTGTCTGCAAGTTGTCCCATCGGCCAGTCTACACTCCTTAGTCGCTCCACGTTTCAGCGGGTCTGTCAGCCTGTCTGGGCTTGTACCCTGTTGTACGTCAGTCAGACTGGCCTGTGAAAAGGGGCCAGTAACAGGAGTGACTCACCTGCTCTGCCTCAGCCAAATTCCCCAGGATCAGGTGGATGCAGCCAATGTTAAAGCAGAGTTTGGAAGGGGGGTTCTGCACTGAGGTGAAAGCATCCAGCGCAGCTGTCCAGTCCTTGCGGTCTGTAGCACACACTCCCTCGTTCCACAGTCGGATGGTCTCAGCCAGAGACATGGTGCAGCAGCGGCCTGCAGTGGAGTAAAGACGGCCTCCCCTGGCTTCAGCCCTTCTTTGCTCTTTACAGTCACGAGGCCACTCTGCACTTCTCCTGCTTGTACTTCTGTGTTTCCTCTGGCCCTGGAGCCAGCAGTGTCGCAAACCAATCAGGAAGTGTCCCCACTGGTAGTTGCTGACACAACCCTGCTGAGATGGGGAAGTAGAGCAGATGCTGGCCAAGGTGAATTATTTTTCTTAACACATTCTTGATGTGTCACTCTAAATCCTCACCCACTGCTGCCCCTCACTTCTTTAGACTTTGCTTTCCAGGGATCTTCATCTGAAATCATGTGGGCCCGTCAGCTGGATGTTTGTGACTGGGGGATTGTGCTTGTCACAGTGAGTCTGTCAGTGAACTCGTGGCTGAGTCACAGAGCACTGACAATGCATCCTGGAGGAATTAGGGCATCAGGACTGCTCAGTGCAGTGCCAGGATCCCCCTTGAAAGGTAGCCTGCAGTGTCTCCACCGTTTCCCAGGGCAGCTCCTAGCAGCAGCTTGGTGCTGGTTGCACCCTCTTCTCTGCCCTCCAGGAGTGGGAAGGGGAAGTGCAGCCCCTCTAGCAGGCTCGGAGGTGAAATGCTGCCATGTGTTTGCAGCAGTCCTGGGACAAGGCCCGTCTGTGTGGCTTTGGCTGAACTGAGCCAGCCTGCAATGGCTTCTCCCCAGACATTAAAATTCTAAAACTCCTGCTTTAAATCTGTTTTTTTCACATTATCACTCTCCCAAAGAAGCTGCTCCAACTACTGCCTTTTGACTGCCCCGGAAGCTGACACCCTCAGCCATGCAATTACTACAGTCCCATGACTCCACCTCTCCTTCGTCCTGTGCTTCAAGTGCACCTGTCCCATCGAGAGCAGGGCAGACAGGATCTTTCCAGAGCTTTGCTCAGCCGCATGCAACTTCTTTCTACATGGGAAAGAATTGTTTCTTCTCCTTTTTCTGTGCATTGCGTTCTTCCTGGCTCAGGTACTAGTGTAACACCGACAGACCTCGGCAGGTAGGATTGAACTGGGGACCTCTGGAGCTTAGTGCATGAGCCTCTACTGCATGAGCTAAAAGCCACCTGGCTGTTAGCTAAGGCTGTAGAGGAGACACATTTTATCTCTCTCCCGCTAAGTGGTCTCGGTGCCACTCGATGGGACAGAACACCACACCCAGTAGGTGTGTGGGTTACACTAGCTCTGTCTGGACCTATAGGTTTCCTCACCAGACAAGAAAGGCAGGGCAGCAGATTGACAGAGGTCTTCAGAGGCTGTGAATTTGGCCCCTTTCACCAGCACTAAATTGACCGGAAGGGAGGCAGTACGGACCAGTGCAGAAAGCATTAACCTGGGAGTCAAGTTACCTGCATTCTGTTCCCAGCTTTGCCGGTTACTGTATCTCTGTATCCTTGGGCATATTACTGTAGCTCCATGCCTCAGTTTCCCCATCTTTAAAATAGGGATATTTATATTTAGCTTTCTTTCTAAAATATTGTGAGATCAGGGGATACAGAAGAGCTATGTGTTGTTTTTAAAGCTCCAGCAACTTGGCTACAGCCTAAGTAACTCTTATGCAGCCAATCCTGTTGGAAATTCTTTTGTCCGATTTCTGCTTTTGAGAGTGGGTGGCGGGGGGAAATCTGTATTCCCGAGAAACAATGACTCATTTTTAATCAGAAACACAATACAAAGCATCTCCAACCCGCCAGCTCTCTCTCTCTCTCGCCTCTGGCTCTCAGGTTACAAGCTGAGCCCCTGTCAGCATCTACTCAGGCACAGCCTGCTCTTGTGGGATCACTATAGCAACCCCGAGAAACACAAAGGGGACTGTGATCTTCTTGTGCCTCAGGAAAGGCGAAGTGAAGTCTGCGAGCAGGTGAAGTGACGTGGAAGGAAAGGAATGGGAAAACAAACTTTGTAAGTATGGAAACTCTCCTCTGCAGGGCCTGTTGTTGTCTTTTGTACAAGAGTAATTTAAAACTCACAGACAGTTCTTGTTTAAAATGGACATTTAAATGCTCAGAGGCAGCAAACCTGCTCCCTACTTTCTCCTTCCCATTCCTTCAGTCTTCTGCCTCTAAGGCCTGGTCTACACTAGGCTTTTATGTCGAATTTAGCGCCGTTATATCGAATTAACCCTGCACCCGTCCACACCACGAAGCTATTTAGATCGACATAGAGCTCTCTTTAAATCGATTTCTGTAATCCTCCCCAACGAGAGGAGTAGCGCTAAATTCGAAATGGCCATATCGAATTAGGCTAGGTGTGGATGGAAATCGACGCTAATAGCTCCGGGAGCTATCCCACAGTGCACCACTCTGTTGACGCTCTGGACAGCAGTCCGAGCTCGGATGCTCTGACCAGCCACACCCCGGGAAAATTTGAATTCATTTTCCTGTCTGGGCAGTTTGAATCTCAGTTCCTGATTGGACATCGTGGTGAGCTCAGCAGCAGTGGCAACGATGCAGAGCTCTCCAGCAGAGATGGCCGTGCAATCTAATAGAAAGAGGGCCCCAGCATGGACTGATCGGGAAGTCTTGGATCTCATCGCTGTGTGGGGCGATGAGTCCGTGCTTTCAGAGCTGCGCTCCAAAAGAAGGAATGCTAAGATCTACGAGAAGATCTCTAAAGCCATGGCAGAGAGAGGCTACAGCCGGGATGCAACGCAGTGCCGCGTGAAAATCAAGGAGCTGAGACAAGGCTACCAAAAAACCAAAGAGGCTAACGGACGCTCCGGATCCCAGCCCCACACATCCCGTTTCTACGAGGCACTGCATTCCATCCTGGGTGCGGCCACCACCACTACCCCACCCCTGACCGTGGACTCTGAGGATGGGATATTGTCCGTGGCCGGTTCCTCGTCGGACATGTTAGCGGACGGGGAAGATGAAGAAGGAGATGAGGAGGACGAGGCAGTCGACAGCGCTGGCACCGCTGATTTCCCCGACAGCCAGGAGCTCTTCATCACCCTTACCGAGATCCCGTACCAACCGTCCCCATCCCTTACCCCGGACACAGAATCAGGGGAAGGATCAAGCAGTAAGTGCTGTAAACATGTAAACATTTATTTTTAACAGAACTGAAGTATTGACAATATTTAAAATGGCTTATTTCCTAAAGTGCTTTAAACATATAAACATTTATCTGCTACAAAACTGGAATATTTACAATATCAACAAAGGGTTTCTCATGATTTTTCTGACTTGGGCTCTTCACTATTTAGTCCCAACTATTTAAAATTTTTTTTACAATGTCCGGTTATTCATGATTATGCAGCCCAAGACGCTCCACTCTTTAGTCCCAGTGCACCTAGGCGAAAATGCGGTCAATATGGCCGGGGATAGAGGAGAAATCCTCATAGGAGAACTCCTCGTAGGTCTCATGCAGGTACAGTTCGAGCCTGTTTATCAGGTTCCTGGGTAGGGCGATCTTACTGGGCCCTCCGTGGTAGCACACGTGTCCCCGCCACGCCACAATCAAGTACTCCGGGATCATCGCACGACATAGCATGGCGGCATACGGCCCCGGTTTCTGCATGCTTTCCCTCAGCATGCGTTCCTTCTGGGTGTCCGAGATCCTCAGGAGGGTGATGTCGCTCATGACGCCCTGCTTTGAATTAGGGAGGGGAATGTTAGTATTGGGACTGCTTTACAGCCACGCGGTGGAGGGAGAGGGGCAGCATACAGGGATCTTTCCCTGGGACAGCCGCGAGGGGGTGGGACAGGGGCAGAGTTGATGCTGTCCTGATTGCTGGCAGCAGAGACTGGCATTGCTTTCAATGTGAAAGGAGGCCAGTGCTACTAATAGAGTTTTAAGCAGCCACAAGTCTACGGCTTACCATGATTGCCCGCTACAGAAGTTCAGGTCTCCAGCCACGCTTCTCAGATCACTCCAAGACCACCGCAAGTCCACAGGCACTGAAGGCGAGGGCCGAAAATTCGACCTTGTCCTGAGTGCGCATGTGAGAGGTGCAGTGCATGGTCTTGTTCACAGAGAAAGACTAGGTTCTTTGTGTACAATTTCATTTATCTGTCTCAGGAATTCACTCCCTTTTTACAATTCACACAGACACATCTGCGACTGTCTCCCAACCCAGCCTGTCAGCACACTCCCAGAGGCTAGCGCAGATTAGGCGGAGGAGGAAGAAGACGCGTGAAGACATGTTCTCAGAACTAATGGGCTGCTCCCGAGCCCAGGCAGCCCAGTAGACACAGTGGAGGGAGAACTTGTCACAAATGCACCGAGCAGTCATGGAACAGGAGGAGAGGTGGCGTCAGGAGGACCAACAGGCTACTGAAAAGCTGCTTGGACTAATGAGGGAGCAAATGGACACGCTCCGGCGCCTTGTGGATGTTCTGCAAGACCGGAGGCAGGAGGACAGAGCCCCGCTGCAGTCTATCTGTAACCGCCCTCACCCGCCACCAAGTCCCACACCACCCTCACCCAAAGTCCAAAGAAGGAGGGGCGGCAAGGGCCGTTAAAACTTTCAGTCAACCCCTGCAGACTGCTCTAGCACTAGAAGGCTCTCATTCCCCAAAATTTGATAAGTCCTTTCCTACCCACCTCACACAAGCCCCCGTCCAAGTTTCACACCCCACGTTTCATGTGTGGTTCACAATAAAATGTTTGTTTCTGTTCATTACTGTTTCAGTCAGGTTCTTTTGAGGGAGAGTCTGTCTGGAGGGGGGGAAGGGGCTTGGTAATTGGACAGGACAGTGACCTTTAGCAGGGTACAGAGGCGGTGTCAGGTCCAGCATCAGGACACA